TTCTCATAAAGTTGTTTATCTATTTCATTGTTGTCGCGAAGGGTTTTTAATGTAGATTTAAGATGTCTGTCTAGTTTGGCCGTAGGGTCCTTTTTTAGATGTTTGTAGGTTGAGCTGTCTGACAAGGTGTTGTTAACTAATTCATTCAGGTTACTGGTGTCTATTAGTACTGTGGCTGTACCTTTGTCAGCTGCTACTATCGATATGTCTTTATTTTCCTTTAATTCTTTGATTGCCCGGGTTTCCTCTTTGGTTAGGTTAGGTTTGGTTATAGCTGGTTTCTCTAGAATCTTTTTGATTTGGTGTCTGATGTAATTTATTTTACCATTCGGGGCTAGCTGCTGAAGACCTTTTTCTATATTCACGATGAACGTTTCTGTTGGTGGTTTGCTACTGGATGGTATAAATTTAAGTCCTTTCGATAGGAGGTGTATCGGATCATCTGTAAGGGTGTGGGATGAGAGGTTGATAACTGTTTTCTTTAGGTATTCTTTCTTGCTTTTATCTGAGGTTTTGGATTTACCCGCTTTACTGTCTTCTACTTGAAGATGGTTGAACTTCTTTGTTTGTCTCTGTTTAGTTTCTAATCTAATTTTTTCCGTTGCTTTCTGATTTAAATTTGTAAAATTAGTGTAATCCGATGGTTTTAAAGTATTTAATATAGTGTTTAACAATCTAGTCTCTGTAATTTTCAGTGAATGTTTTACTTTTCTATCGCTGACTTGCACATTTGAGTATCTGGTTGGCTTTAGAGGAATTAATTGGCGATTTAAGACGAAAAACCTTCGGTATTATGTTTTTATCACGACAGCGTAACAAAAAGATTAAACTAGACGATGATTTACACAATTTAGATTGCACACATTTAAGTTGGTTAATCACTTTTAACGTCTCATCTCCATAATGATGTTTAACATAATCCTTATAAGACATATATAAATAGATTTCACTAAAAATAAAACACACTTATATGGATATACTACTTCTGAATTTATTAACATGCTACGTTTCGATACACATACAGATATCGTTTTCAAGCAAATAATGATAATCAACAATAAATGTAGTACAATATATAGGTAACAAGTGGAAACCATTTAACAGAATAATCAATACTATCAACAACGCATTATCAAGATCAAAGAAGTTATATAAATTAACATGATGAAAGAATAACACTAATAATACAAAAGGAAGAGATTAGAGGATAATTGACTACTAATAATACAAAAGGAAGAGATTAGAGGATAATTGACTACATGAAACCGTAACATCAAGACGCTAATTAACTATATGAAACCATAACTATAAGATGAGATGAAAGTCAGAGATAGAAACAATCATCACAAGTGAAACCTTAACTACAAGATGAAATAAAGGGGGGGGGGTCATACACTTATGACCACAGACACTTCTCATCACTAACACACACTGATTAAGAATTAAATAAATCAACCCAAAGATTTGGGAGGAAATGTCCTGAGTCTCTGTTTAATTTTGGCTTATGTTTTTGAATTTCCAAAGCCTCGCGAAGAACTCTGCTTTTCCATGTTGATAGGTTTCTAGCTAGTATTTCTGTACTTTCCCATTTGATTTGGTGCTGTGGGTTTTGGTGGATATGTTCTGTAGCGCTGATTTGTTTTGTTCTTGTTTTTTAACTGCTGTCTGATGCTCTTTAGTTCTGATTGAAATTGGACGGGATGTTTCGCCCACATAGGCCACATTACACTCACAATTTATTTTGTATATGACTCCCTTTGGGTCCTCTTTTGGTTTTAGTATTCTACCATCAGCTTTTAACATAGTTTTAAGTGTGGTTCCGCTACTGAACACTACCTCTGCACCGATTTGCTCTGTTAAAATTCTTTTTATTTGGTGGCTAGCTGGTCCTATAAATGGGATGGAGATAAGAAGCGGGCTAGTTCTTCTGATTGCAGTGGGTGGTTTGCAGGTATGAGTCAGTGTTTTCTTCATGGTGGCATTAACTGTATTAGCAGGGTAGTTATTGAATTCTGTAAGGACATGGTTGATATGCTGTAATTCATTATCGAGGAGGTCTTCATCACATATTAATTTTGCGCGTCTCGTTAAGGTACTAATAATTCCTGTTTTTACTTTCGTTGGGTGATTTGAACTATTATGTATGTATTGGTCAGTGTGGGTTGGCTTGCGGTAAACAGTGGTTTTTAGGTAATCTGCGGAGTTGTTTACTAATACGTCCAGGTTTAACCGCTATGTGTCCTAATCACCAAACAAAATGAATGCCACGCAATTCTCGGACAGGCTGTAATCTGAAAAGTGTCTATCCTTCCCAAGAGCTATCCATCTCGTTGGAAGGGTTACAAATCTACTTGTTTCTGAGCTTACTTTCATTCCAGGGTCAAATATAATCACTTGAACCATAATAATATTCAACATATTCCATCAAATTCCGAGTGCCTCACACAGGTTTTTTTTCTGGATTACTTTTAGAGCTTTTTTCCCAACTTGTTGACCAGTTTTCCTTGAGAAAACCCCAACTTTCTCCCAATTGTCCATGAGAAAACTACATATTTTATCTTACTGCATTGACGGGAAGTGTTAAGCTGGACGTCTTTGAAAAGGGTTGATCGATAAATTTTCAAGGAAGCAATTGTTGTTTTTGTTTGTGAAATAGAGGACTCTAGCCGATGAGGCTACTTCCCCCCACCGAGAACCTCAGGCAACCAATTTGTTTGATGTACTACTATCGTAATAAAACATTACTATGTTAACCACATCCTGGTAGCTGAAGACTTACACCGGAAAGAAAAATGTCCCCGAGAAAATGTTTTTTCCGACAATCGATATTCGAGATGTCTTCTGATGCACAAATTATGCTGCACTGTATAAGAACTTGCATCCTTTGATCTGAATATTGTAGATGGAAAAGTATCATTTGCACTATTTCAAAGTAAACATGCATTTTCGTATATCATCCCGTAATTTGTGATTAATGACAATCACTTTGAAAATAATATGGGTTGAGGAACGGAAGATCTATGTTCGTCACGTGACTGGACAATTCCACCCCCGTCCCACCCTGACGATGATCCCTCCCGGAGCGGCGCGGCGCGGCGCGCTCTCTAAAAAAATCTCGGGCACAGTTTACTCTTCTATGTTTTCCGGTAGCTATTTAGTAACCCGGAGTTTGGTCCTCGTGTATGGTTTTGGACCAGGTGAGCGCTGATGAAATAAGTTCATTAACATGCAAGCGAGCGATCGCCTACGGTCAAAGAAAAATTTCTTTTCAGATTTTTTTAAACAATTTCTTCCAAATTTTTTTTTTTTTTCCAGTATTTTTCTATTTAAAATTATTTTCTACGGAATGTTTTTTTGTAAAACCAATTTCTCGGACCAGGCTTCGGGTTACCTATTTAGGGTTTTTTCCGGTATTTAGGGTGTTTTCCGGTATTTAGTGTTTTTCCGGTGTTTTCCGGTATTCAGTATAAAATGGTGTTTTCCGGTATATAGTATTGCCGCTGCTTTTTGAAATTTAGTGACTTTGTCTCCTACACATCTGCTTCCCACATGCAGAGTTCTGTTACATGCAAATCAGGCCCAACGCTTGAAGATAACAAGGGTCCAATCGGACCCCTAACTTAAACAACTCAACGTAGGGATTTTGCTAATGTATTTGCTGCCTAATACCATATTGCGTATGCCAGAGTATTCTCTCTTTTAGCAGCTGCATGTTACAAATACCAAAAATTAAATGATATCCAATGGTTTTTGTATCAAGCGTGAATTGCCATTTTAACCTCTTTATCACATAGTACACAAAGTAGCAATTTTGTGAGAATTATTAAATCTTTTCCAAATGTCAGTAAAATGTCAGTAAATCGTTTCCAAATGTCAGTAAAATGTTTTTGTAAAATAATTTAGTTGTTTTTCAGTTGTCAAACATGAAGGCAAATAAAAACTAAACCGCTGCCTTTTAATTCAAATATATCTGTACGTAAAAACTTTGAATTATAACTTGGGTCCATATGGACCCCTGATACCTGCTATGTGATTCTCATAACGTGAACCCACAAGGGTTAAGACAAAGTTTACTATTGCATTCGCGTCAGACGTCAATTAATGATAACGATTATCACAACCGCCTGTACCGTAATTATACATATAGATAAACATTATGTGACCCTCTAGATAAATAGATTGGTATACACTTTGGGTACGAGGAAATGTCTGCATTTTCTCGTCTCGTCAAATGGGAGCAAACCATAATAAGCAGTTGATTCGCATCTACTGGAGTGGTTAACAACAAGAAGAAGGAAACGTGTCAATACCCCCTTTCATGGAGCTGAACAACTGCGTTTGAACAAATCTGAATAAGCACTACCCATGCGACATACATACATCGTGTCTCAAATGTTCCGGTTTGGCTGCACATGTTCTGTCCCCATTCGTAGAAATATAAGTAATAACCGCCTAGGCTAGGTATTGACCTAATTTGATTTTGGAAGAAATGGCAAGTGTCTAAACGTGTATTTATACATTATGGAAATTCGAAAAATGTGATCAAAGTATTAGGAAAAATAAAAAACTCTATAGATCTTATAAATACTGGTAAGTAAATATACATCGTATGCAATATAACAAAATGCTGTTTTCCATACGATGGTTAATAAATCAAAATAAAAAATAAACGTGATAATAATTATGAATGCTTATATGTATACGATTACTTAACGTCGTTTTGAATAAATTGAAAATTAAATGAATGCCGATTCCCAACGCAGTAAATAGAAAGCGCCATATAAGCTACGCATATATCACGCCATGTCACATCAACAATTAATATACACTATGTACAGTTATAATAATCTTTGTAGGAAAACTGTATACAACTGCTAAATAATATTATGAAAGGAAACCTTTCAATCCAATACAATGGCGTTAAAATTCCCTTGAAAAGAACAGACGTTTTGGACCTGAAAAGGCGTTTACTAATCCTTAGTGACCAGACCGTTTCTAGTAAATAATAAAAGTGTTCTTGGAAAACCAATATTATTTTTCAAGTTACATATGAAAAAAGGGTGAATTTATCTGGTCTTCGTTATTCAGTAAGTTAGTTAGCTTATTTTGTTACGAAAAATATTTATTTTGTTTTATAGTTGATTATGGAATATATACCAATATAGTGATGACATATTTTCACAATTTTAGATCTTGTTTATAGATACAAGGGCATGCCTAACTACTTCACTGTTAATAATTTATACTTGTTTGTCGTTGAGGGGAGGGGGGAGCCCTTGAAAAAAATTTCTACCATCTTCAGTACCAATTAAGAGAGAGAGAGAGAAAAATGGGTTTAACATCCACTCGACACAAACTAGGTCATTTCGGCACTAACGTATGGGTTTAATTTTATTGCAATCATTCGCTTGCGCGTAGTGGTCTATAGCAGTGGGAGGAAACCGGAGGACCCGGAGAAAAACCACGAGGTTGGACAGGCGACCGTATTCCTTGTCACGTACAACCGGGAAATTGAAACCACGCCAGTTTACTCAATGACACACTTTTATGATACAGCACGCAAACGCTAACCATTCAGCCACCCCCAGTACCAAATGGGACTTAGAAGAAAGTCTTGACTTTACGACGGTGAGAGAAAAAGAGAAATGTGTTTTAAAGTCCACTTGACACAAACTAGGTCATTTCGGGACTAACAAATCTTTTTCAATAATTCGCTTGTGTATAGGGTTCTTTAGCAGTGAGAGGACACATTAAGACCAGGAGAAAATCGGCGAGGTTGGACTAGCAAGCAGACATTCGAAACCACGCAATTCAGGCTTATGATTTAATGCGCACTCGTCACACCATTAGACCATCCAACCTCAGGGAATAACCGTATGGTTTCATGTTGCCATCTTTGGCCCACATCTGGCATGGCATGATGTTCGTGTGTGGGACATATTTGGGCCAGGCAATTGTGCCACCTCTGGCCCACATGTAGCATGCCATATCTTTGCCAAAACCTGCCAACTGTTGGGCAGATCTGGGCCAAACAAGGCGAGTGTCTGCATTAGCGGCTGTGGGTCCTATCTGGCCCACGTCCGGCTGAGATATGCCAGTTTTGGTCAAATTGTGGTATGCCATATCCGGTCCAAACATTTTGCCAGATGTTGACATAAATACACCGAAATCGGTGCTGTATAATGGTCATGGCTATTCAATGGTGCTTACTATCTGAGTATTTACCGAAACTTGCAGCGACACAGGGGATACGCGATGGTAGCGGCATGGCCTGTTAGGCTGGGTCACTGTGGCGTCATCCTATGCATAACCTACATCAGGGTAACGTGTGCCCGTGTGAGATAGACCTAAGACTTGTTATCTATGCAACTCGAGAGGTTCGATCCGGGGTGTGGAAGCTACGTGGTATACACCAATGTGCTTTACTGCAATTTTTCACTAGGAAAAATGTATTTTGTTTAATGGTAATAACTGGACAATAGTAAGATTGATTAAGGATCAGCGGATTATCCAACTTGGCCAGTAGACCTATTATGACAGACGAGTATATGTCATTATTATGTTATACACATTAGACACTACATTAGATCAATAACAAGGGTGTAACTAAGTTAACATTGTTAATGTACATGTTATCTAAAGGATCTTGGTTACAACACAAAGAAACCAGTTTTACCGCTTTAAAGACCGACGAATAAGAATGCGTTATAACTAGACAAACAAAAAGTATACCTCTGGCGTGCACAACAACAAAATGGTTGTGAAATACTTAATCCACCCAGTTTAAAAGTCAGACTGGTAACCGGTTTATTTCATTTGGTGAAGAGTAAAACCCAAGAAAAAAAATGTCAACGCATTATAAGTGAGAAATGCTTCTATTATCGAGTGCATAAATTCCATCTGCTCTGTTAATTTTCTCTGAATAATTTGAAGTGTATAGCGCTAATTGGCACCATATAGACATTGTGTTAATCTTAGATAACAACACGCACAAAAATACAATTAATACAGATACTTGGATTAATGGATTATGTAAGATTTAATGATCAGCCACAGAGAGTAAGACGCTAACTTACATACTACTATTCAAGTTGTCGATCATGGTTTCTCCCTGAGGCCACGCATTCATACCAAAAACCATAAGTCGCGAACCTTTACAAAGGATCAAACAACGCATCTCATCGACGTACTTTTCAATTTTCACATGGACGTATTATGTCGTGGCCCCTATCTGTTCGGTCATATTTGTTTGTGGACACTCTACACGTCACACTCCATATCCGATTTTCATGAAACTTGTGTCAATATCTCTGCTTCCTTCGATAGTGGCGCATATGGGACTGTACGAGCAATCACGTTATTAGCTTGACAGTCTAGAAAACGCAGTTTTAAAACCATTTTAGATGGTTCAAATATATCACCGTAACATTATAATCATAGTTGAGTTCGAATTTCTATTTCGTGAGAATGAGAACGACACTTTCTATAAAACAGTCGCTCTCATGTACGCAGATAGTGGACAAGTATGTGATACGTATAACAAAGTTGTCGACACTGTATGGTCACAGTTTGTCTGACTCATATGACGCTTAACATACATACTGCTTTTTCAAGTACAAATGTGAAAGCTGCAATAGTTTAAGCAACCACAGTTTATTCAGAACGCCGCAAATCATCCCAGAAGCAAGGGTATATTTCTATACACGAACTGTGTTATGTGAGAAAGAATGAAGTTTCAAGATTATGTGCACAATATTGAAACGGATTCGCCCCCAATAAATGTATATAACTGTATACTTGTAACATCACAATGCTCGTGTATGTCCATACGCCCATATTTAAGTGTGTGCGTATTATATCGTCACCCATATCTGTCGGTTCATCTGTGAATAATTGGGTTTTTTTATAGAGCCACCCCCTGTATGAGTAAAGACGCACAAATGGTGTGCCATCTATTAAATAGTCTAATAAATGGTAGCTATCGGTGTAACGGACAACACAATTTCATCAAGAACAAAGTAATTTTCTTGAAAACTGTTTCTGGTTTCCTATTCCATTTCTTTCTTGAGAGACAAGTTGGCAATTGATATAACTATAATAGTTGTAATTCTAGCATGTATTTGTATTTTGTGAAATATATCAATACCTATTACATTGACTCGAGGTTAAATGTGTGATTTGACAGATATTTATGGGACCTCGCCATTTTATTCCGGCATATAAATTTGGCTGGATAGTGTCTGTTAATGACATACAACTTGATAAACTATGTACTGAAACCAATTTTGGCAAGACGGGTGTGTGTGTGTGTGTGCTTCCAACGATTATCGGTCAGTTTCAGGCAATGAAATTCCGTATCAGAAAAACTGCCAAGCCAAGCAATAATTCCACCAAATTATTTTGTTAAATAATGCAATGGTACTTTTCTGCGAAATCTATTTTCAGGTAATACGTATGTAGTATGAAACCATACACACTCCTATTCTTCCTGCTGTATTCAGGTGAGTTTTTATAGGATTGACAGTCCAGTTATAAAGATACACAATGGAAACCAATTTTAACAATAGTTTATATTTGAAAAGATATAGTTCCCTCCTTTGTCAAATTTGGGGTTGGATGGCTGAATGGTTAGCGGTGTGCGCGATATATCATAAAGTCTGTCATTGAGTCAATTGGCGTGGTTTCGAATCCCTGGTTGTACGTGACAAGGAGTAGGGTCGCCTGTTCAACCTCGTGGGTTTCTCCCACTGCTAAAGAATCCTACAGGCAAGCGAATTATTGAAATAAAATTAAACCATATGTTAGTCCCGAAATGACCTAGTTTGCGTCTAGTGGACGTTAAACCCCATTTCTCTCCTCTCTCCCCCTTTGTCAAATATTCTAGTTGGTAATACAATGAAACAAGATATATACTAGTTAATTAGAGAGAAACAAGCCATGTGTCACATTATGGATGGACGTCCCATATTGATTTTCAGTGACCTTCCGTTCCGGAGTTGTCGAAATGACTTCGATCATCGATTTGCTGGAAGTGACAAATTCCTGAGCTGATTGTGCTTTCTTGATTTTATGACAACAAAACAAAATTATTGTTACATCTGACAAAATAGTCGGTGATATTATGTAATCATTTATTGTACTTTTATATCTTATAGATTATGGAGGACAAGGATTTGAATGGTTTAAACCTGGTAATAACGAATATACCAGTTTGAGTGGTTGTAACATTGAACTGATATGGAATTTACTGATAAAAGACCACACAACTACAATAACTAAGGTAAAGCAGCGTAATACGAATAACGCTGCTTGTCCATTAATAATGTATTTAATAGCCATACGCATTTTAACATATTCAGTATTGTTGTATATACCAGGGTGGAATTTCACGACGAAATACAGTATATTTTCTTTTGTTTTGTTTGTAGGGTTTACTTGACAGCCGAGCCAGAGCATACCATTTATACTCTCGTATCCTAGTGGGTTAGCTGCTAAGTGACGTATCTTAATGCACATGAATGGGATGTATTAAACATTCAAATCAATCAATGATTCAGTCAAAATGTTTATGAAACACGTATTCACTTAATCTAGGATGTCATTATATTTATTCCAGGTTGAAAAACCAGGATATGGGTTAAATGATGACAAGAGATACGTAATAAACACTAAAGAAACCGAACAAGGACAAGATCTATCTATGATCATCCCGCATGTCACAGTACCGGACTCTGGTGTATATAGGTGTACGGTTGATAATATACCGAGGCATAAAGATATAAACGTTACTGTTACGGGTAAGCATACTTCTATTACTCTTATCGGAAAGTCGTGACAGTTATCAGCTACTATGAGAATTTACTTTGTTTATTATTTAACAGATTTCAAATGGAATTCTGATAAAAAGTCCATAGAAGTTCAAGAAGGGGAGGATATTAACCTAGAATGGAAGTATGTAACCCAGGCTATATTCAAACATATTTTAGTATATAGAATACCGTTTGAAGAAAATTCCAGAAAAGTAAGTACAATGTAATCAGTTTATTTTAAAACCTATTCTGGAAACATCATACACATGTTTACTTCCAAATCAAATGTTTCAAACTGTTTTGGATTATGAAATTTAATCACACCATCGCACTAGTCCAGATATAAACAGTGATAGCAACGACAGTAGTTGGCGACATGTAATAATGAACTTGTTTAATTTATAGTTCTGTTTTTCGTGTTCATTAAGTATATAATTCTCAAATAAATATCAAATTGTGGTCAAGGGATATTACCTTTTTATTTGATATTGTGTAATAGGGTCAAGTCTACATTTACATGTGTTGTAGTCGATATTAGTGACAGTGGTATTTAAATATTCTGTATCTTGTTTATTCAGCAATGTATTGGGAATTTGACAGCAGATCATATCGACAACCAAGGGGAGAGACATGTTGGCAGGACATACGTAACGTTAAATAAAATTAAAGATGGCTACAGTGCGATATTAACACTTCTTAACGTAACTGAAGACGATGTAAAATATAATTACTTTATAGAGTTGGTATACAGTGATACTTGTTCGATGATAAGAGGACCAACTTTGTTGAATAAGGGTAATTTGGTTATTATTTAATTCACAGGCAAACATTTAAAGGAAATAACTAAAGGATACTGTTCGGTGTCGGTCTGTTGGGGGTCTTGAGTGGCAGACATCATTAACGTTGGCACTAAAGTTTTATTGTATACATGTGTAGCCTACATTGCAGACCGTTGGTAACACACGACCGAATTATTTTTTTTTACATTATAATATGTTGATGCTCATTCCATATGGCGATAATCGATATATTAAAAATATATTTTCATTTATATTATAGCTTCCAAAGTATACAGTGAAACACCAGTTATCAAAGTTCGACGTCATGAAGATATCAATTTTGTATGGAATTACGAGTATATATCTCCTGTGGTTAAAGTATTATTCACCCGTAGAACTCACGAAAATAAGGTATGATTTTTAATATTAGCAATGGTGTTCAAAAGATTAGCAGAGCTATTTAAAGTTAGATCACGATTAATGAATTTGTAGTTGGCAACGAATGTTATTTTTCCTTACGATTTCCATTGTTTTAATGGAACAAGCTTTTTACATGAGAGATAGAGAGAGTTTACCCCCACTCGACACAAACTATGTCATTTCGGGACTAATATATGGTTCAATTGTATTTCAATAATTCGCTTGCGCGTAGGAGTCTTTAGCAGTGGGGGGAAATCGGAGAAAACCCACGAGGTTGGACAGTCGACCCTACTCCTTGTCACGTACAACCGTGGAATCGAAACCAAGCCAGTTGACTCAATGACAGACCTTATGATACAGCGCGCACGTGCTAACCATTCGGCCATCCATCCCCGCTTTTTTACATAAGAAGTTTTACATTGTGGTATTTTCAAATTATGATATCTAAGACTGCTATTTGTTTCGGGTTGTATTTTCATCAGAATATCGGACAAATACAGGAGACTATATTACGATTTTATAAAATTAGACGAGTTTTTGTCTTTGACAGTGGTTCTCGTAAACACATTAACCCACATCAGCACCAACCGGGATAAATTACAAAATTTTATTATTTGTTTGTTTGGCAGGCTTATGGCTTTGGTTTCTCTGTCGAAATTTGACGCGGATGCAATTGTTCATAAAAGGTTTATCATTGGGTCTAATTGTTTCATTAGTAGGGTAGTCCACAACCTGAAATATGTGTGCTAATGAATCTGAAACTATTTGTCAGCATGGTGCATCTCTAATGACAAATACGCGAATGAAAACAAGACACTTGCTAAGCAGCACGGAGAAAATATTCGCTCAAAATAGATATTCATGTGGCAATATTCACATATTCATTCGCCTATTTATGAATGAAGTCACGAAACAAATATATTCTTTACGCGTGGTGAGTTCAGCAGTTTGGGACAGAACATTAACTGAATGAAGTATATTTTGCGTAGTCTTGGCTATAAGTCTTGGAAGGGCAGGCCTGGACCAAGGTTAAGGGGGTAAAGGCGCCAGCTTCAACCAGGTGTATGGGGGGCTTCCCCATAATTATTAGAAAAACAGACTACCGGAAATGTTGTCCTGGCAGTATTTCAGGCACTGATCCTCGGGATGAATATATCTCGACGAGCCCCCCCCCCACCCTAAAGCGCCAAAGCAGCGAGCCTGTACGGAGGGTATGGGTGTACCTCGCCCAGAAAATTTTGAAAACTAAGAATTCAGGCACCATTTGTCGAGATAAATAGAGCTGACCAGATACCTGTCGCCTGATCACTAGTTTAACTAAGCCAGAAGGGGGAGAGGGACCAGCACGACTTTTAGGGCAAATCCCCCCCCCCTCCTTGCCGGGTATACAGTTTAAGTTCACATCGTAAGTGCAGACATTGATGGTACTTTAGCGGCAAATTTGTTGAAAATCATAACATATTATTATTGTTCCTTTACAATTTTCTATTATGTGATTTTTGCTCCTAATCCTCTATTCTCTTTAGCGAACCAAGTAATAACATTACCAGAACGTTACCCTAAAAAAATACTTCGAAATCGCCATATTCAAGTTTGTAAATCAAGTTACCAAACGCCGCGCAAAAACAATATGCTTAAATGAACACCATCTTATTGTCCGAGTCTCTCAACATGTCTGCTTCACTCTATGGAAAGATATTACTACTAGTAATGACTTATGTCCGATTCAACAACATCTGAAGCGAACACATGATTATATACTATTCAAAAAAAGTAGGGGATATTTGATTTTTAAGTGTTATTAAAGTCACCTAATGAAACTGACGAAGAAACAAATGACAAAATGAAATGAAGTTCACATTCATCGATTTATTCCAAATGATCGTTAGACTAAGTAAGGCACAGACTGACCATTATAAGGGTAAAATGATACCCGGGGTCAAACAGCAAAGTTACCACAGCATCACAACCAAGTCAGTAACGGGTAAATCCTCCTCTGTTTGCCAAACAAGCATTGATCCGACGTGGCATACTCCTAATGAGACGTCTAAGGTCATTTTGGTCCAGATTGTCCCATTCCTGTTGCAACGCAGCAGCAAGTTCTTGGACATTGGCAGGACGTTGTTGACGTTGACGTAACCTATGTCCAAGCATGTCCCAGACATGCTCGATGGGGGAGAGGTCGGGACTCAGTGCTGGCCAAGGTTATGTTCTGTTGTTGGAGGTAACCTGTAACGATCCTGGCCCTGTGACATCTTGCGTTGTCATCCTGGAAGATGAAACGGCGGCCATGACGTCGTGCGAACTGCACAACATGGACTGCCAAGATGTTGTCCCGGTAGTACTGGCCTGTAACACGCCCTGCAACAACATGTAAAGCCGTTCTTTCAGCAACAGTGATGCCTCCCCACACCATAACAGAACCACCCCCAAATCGATCATGTCTGATGACGTTAACGTCTTGGAAGCGCTCGTTTCGACGACGCCAAACCCTCCTACGTCTGTCCAAAAAATCAACAGTGAACCTTGACTCATCTGAAAACATCACATTGCTCCAGCGTCGATTATCCCAGTGTTGACGATCCCTACACCAACGACGTCTTGCCTGAATGTGATGATCTCTCAAACAAGGGATCACGCGAGGACGTCGGGCGCGAAGGTGACCCCTATGCAGTCGATTCCGAATCGTCTGGCCACTCACTCTCACACCAGTGTCTGTTTGAAGACGAGCGCTGATCTGATTTGCTGTGATGACACGATTTCTCAAGGCCAAGGTACGGATAAATCGATCCTGGGCTTGAGTTGTCGCCCTTGGTCGACCTGAGCGTGGTCTGTCCTGTACAGATTGTGTATCACGGTATCTGGACCATAGCCTGCTTATGCCAGACTGAGAAACAGTCATCGTCCGCGCCACAACCGCCTGTGTTGTGCCGATCTGTAGCATGCCAAGGGCACGTAACCTTTCATTTTGGTTAAGCCGACGCATAACAAAATTTGTTTTCTGGTCACTAAAACAATTAAACTGATGTTTCCACCCTGGAATTCAATGCCACAATGACTGTAACATTCAAAGTCAGAGTCGTGCAAATCTTGGGTTGGACCCCCATGATGATCCCAAGCATCACCTGCATTCCATGCGGTAGCTATTGGTGCGTTTGGGCGTCACATGTAACTGGAAATGTTTCTTCTGTTAGGTTCTATAGTGACTTTTTTCGTAGTCATTTGCATATTTTAGTATTATGCCCCCAAAATCAAATATCCCCTACTTTTTTTGAATAGTATATTTGGCATCAATGCCATCACCATAACAAGTCGTAACGCTATGAGGTATTCCATTGTATTACTTACAAAATATTTCTTTGGAGATTTGGGGTTCGTTTTATGGTTTTGCCGGCCAAGTAAGGCGCATGAAATTTGTGGTTCCCAGCATTCTGAATAGTTGCATTGTTTATATGTTACAGATTGATAAGATAGGATATTGGCACGAAGGCGAGTTTGAATCAACTATGGCAGATGGTGAAAGTAGACTGATATTTAACAAAACGGAACGAAATATTACCAATGGTTCTGGAGGACAGATTACTTTAACGTTACGTGATGCAGCAAGGGAAGACTTTAATTATTTCTATATATGTCGTATTATCTTTCATGATAAAGAAGAAAGTTCTTGGAATATCCTACTGGAAGGTAATTCACACTTTTTGAGATATATCGTATACACTGCTACTACAAATGGATGTGGTTCAATTAGCAGGAACAACATATACCATTAAGAAATGAGTTCGTAAAGTTTCCATTTGCAACATGAACAGTCTTATACAATATTATATTTCATGCACCCGTGATTTAGACGAAAGACGACTTCGGTAACAATTTGTATTAGTACAATGATCAAATATTAAAAATTATATATGTCTATTTTTTTATTAGTTTCAAAATTTACAAATATTGTAAAATCATATATTGATTTGATAAAAATTGTTTTTAATTGACAAATATTTTAATGTCTGTCTCTCTATATAACTATTTTGAAATTGTTTAAATGTTACAAGATGAGTCTCTTGACTTAGTTCGATAAAAAACATTTTCTTTATAAACTCAGAAATTAGCACCATCCCTCCAAATAATTTAAAAAAACTAATATTTGTGATAAAATTATGTTTCGGTAATCAATACCTTCAGAGGTGATTAAATCCCTCATTCCCACACAGTCATAGACTTGCATATTGTAGAGCCCGGCTGATTTCTAACCAAACCCATAGTGCTATAAACCTACTATAAAGAAAAAGAAATGCTTTTTTATGACCCTCAAAGTTTTGGGGTATGGGTTCAACGCGTCGAGAATATTCAATTTGATTCACTCGCTCTTAAAAATATAATAAATACAATTACCGATAAGCGTTTACACAGCTTGACTGTACTGAGTTTCCATAAGGAAAGGGCAATGAAGTAAGTTTGACCTGTAAAATGTGGTCGAACGCTTCGTTAAAATATACCCAAATTCAGGAATGGTCCTAATTTTAATTCGGGAATGAATTATCCAAACTATTGTTGATAAGATCCATCTATCATTACTATATTATTGAATTATTGTATTTCTGCCCGCAGTTGGTTTGTTTCGTTAATTTTCAGTGTTTTAAGTAAAACACCGTTCTATTCATCTCGACGACCAAGTCTGAAATACTGCCTGACAGCTTGTCTTTGAGGTAGAATGTACAAACTTTTTCATGATGGCCATGTGCTGACCGGTTTAAAAAAAATATTTCATCCACCAAATAAAATTGAAAACCAAAAGATTTCACCATAACTAATTTTAAAAGTTAATTTTGAAATATAGGAAAAATTAGGGAAATATTCTCTTCAAAAAAATAAATGTATAGCCAATTTTTCATCAATTTTTAATTTAAACAGGATCGTTGTTTCTATAAATCTTACTTGTTGTTAATGTCATTACGTAATGATGTAAGAAATTCATTATTGATTTGTAATGTAGGGTCATGATCACTAATTACGACTGGTCATACTTTTTGCCGAAATTTATTTTCGCTTGATTGCGCCAAGGCACAGTCATGAGTTTAACAACTTCGCAAGCTTTTCGCATGAAATCCAAATCTATCTAAGCCTTTAAAACGCCTACGTGAAACCAGATTAGAGCTGCTGTTTTGAAATACGCCGAAACCGTCAAATCCGACTTCAATGGGTTAATACACACCATGTATGGCCACGTCAATTCTGGAGAAAAGCTTGGTTCAGCGACGAGTGGCGGATCCTTTTGCAATGAGGTGATGGCAGAGCAAGGGTGTATCGACGACGAAATGTCACCATGCGTTTCATTTTTGAAGTGTATATTTTATATAAGGCAGGGACTTTATACCGGGTCTGTTAGTCACATTTGCGGGAAATAAGTCTGCTTCTAATTGTGTTATATTCTTTAAACTTGGTTGAGTACAATGATGCCCATTTTCTGCTTAGACTAAGCAAGGCTATGCAGAAATAGCGATCGAATTGATCAATGGTTTGTTTAGGACACGATCAATAGCTGAGAGTTATCGGTATAATAGTTTAAAATAGGTATTGAAAAGCGGATATATTAAATATTTCAGTCAAGTTACTTCATTCTGAACGTTTGAAAAATAGTGTAGTCTCGATTATCCATTTGTAAATTAAATTATTAAATGGCCACCATGTTGCATTGCGTTTAAAATCACAGCCATCCGATATCCCAGAGAGTTGATTATGGACTTTCAGGTGAATAAATGTCTAATTCATATATAACTTGAAATCAAAATATAGAACTGTAATGGACAGGTTTAGCTCATAATGAATTATCCAGGGGAAGTTGTGGAACTTTTTAGTTTAATTATATCACTACCTTGACTAATTTCAAAATCAATTTATTTCGTCCAGAATTTGGAGCTCCAATTGGATGTGAATTTAACTTGGCTGTTAGTTCCATTAGATCGGTACCCTGAGTAACTTTGATGCTGAGCAATGTCTGCTGAGACTAAGTAGAGAGAGAGAGAAATGGGGTTTAACGTTCCACTCGACACAAACTAGGTCATTTCGGGACTAACATATGGTTTAACTTTATTTACATAATTCGCTTGCGCGTAGGGGTCTTTAGCAGTGGGAGGAAACCGGAGGCCCCGGAGAAAACCCACGAGACTAGGTAGAGACGTTAACTTGATTGAAGGTGGGGTAGAATGACCAAAATTAGTGTAGGTGTTTAGGCCTTGAGATAGTACATTTTCTAGTAAAGCCGGTGGAGCACAATGACCCTGCTTTTAATTGAGGTAGAATGTACAATCTTTGTGTATATGTTCATTATGTGAATGTTTTAAATGATTAATACTTACCGTGATAAGCACATTGACAACTCGACGTTTTGGGGCGCGATAACTTTAACTTTATTTCAAAGAGAGTAATGACATGTGGGGTATAGTTTAGCTACACTATTTTATCGTTGATTAATAGTTTGGATGTTCGATGGTTTAAATTATGCAATTGATTAATGTATTATTAGGACCGCTGTTTTTTAATTTATTTATATTGGGTCTTTTTATGCTTTGTATATATTATCATTACTATTTATTGCTAACATTTAGTCTTGGTGGTGGTGTCGTGTCATTTGATTAGTGGAAACATGACGTTACATTTAAAAACGAAAGGAGAATCTGCAGTAGTACCATACGGCTCTATTAGAAACCTTGACCGAAGTACATAATGTTACCACTTTATGTCATATTGAAGCAGGACAAATAAATGCGACAAATCAGTGTTATTTTTTCCATTTCAGAACAAGAGGATGCTTCATTGTCCACCGGGGAAGTTGCTGCTATAGCTGTGACTGTTGTAGTAGCAGTAGTAATACTGGTAATAACAATAGTAATAGTATTGTCCAGACGAAATGGTGAGCTTTTTGTATATTATTCGGCATTACAGAAGTCGGGTTTTATTAATATAGAAAAAAAACAATAGTTCATATAGTATGCAGTTCGTATCTAGCTGGTTGCTAATACAAATAACTTTAATGGAAGTTGTATGTTTAGGTCTACTTGCCACTATCACAAATTACGTTTAATAATGTGTCACGATGTATTGAGAGCTAGCATACATAAATACAGCATTCTAAAATCTAAGAATATATAAACAATTCAGCTGGTCGTTTAGAAAATGTTTAGATTGAGTAGTATTTGGAGTTATGACATTCCTCTATTTAAATTGTATCTTTTCGTTATCATTTATGTAATTCCATTGAAGGTAATTATAAAAGTTTGAACTGTAGTCATTATAATACGTAGAGTGGAGCACCTCACATATTGTATTTTATTATATCAATAAATCGCTTTAGCAGAGCAAATAAACCGGAAAACACGGAGAAAGGCCAAAGGTTGGATAGGTGATCCTACACCTTGTAAAGTACAGGCGGGAAATAGAAAACAAGGCCACGATCCACTCGATGCTAGGCAGAACAAGAATTCAGCTGTTCTGTAATACTAAGCCAAAAGATGCCGCTCCTAAACGTATGGTCAATAATATAGAAAACTAGACAGAAAAAAAACGAAATTAATTTTTTTAATGTTATTGATGTGTAGACAGTGTCACGCGTGATGACTTTGGTCTGTCTTTCACGTAGACTATACATGTTACGAAGAGTTGCGAATCGAAATCCGTGGTGATTTGGCAAAGAAATCATAAAGATCGTAAAGTTTACGATAATTTGGGTGTGAAAAATATGCCGGATGTCACGGTATAGGGTTCTACGAAATGAATGAATCATCTATACGAATTAAAACGATTCAATTACGAATGAGTTAGGAATAGGTCGAATTGCTTACAAATATGCAAAATTCAGTTGCGAATACACTATGCTCTCGAAGCATGATGCCGATAAAGCTATGAAAAGTTTACCATATTTGGCACTATTCATCAAAGAATCGAATAGGAAGTTGTTACGGACGATAAGAAGGAGCTACGCCTGGTTTCGAAACCGTGGCCAAACTACTAGGAACTGTACGAATGTGTAGGAACTAAATACGAATCACTCAAGAACTCCAAGAACTGTCTACGATATATCTACGAATCGGATAAAGTTTCGATTCCGGGCGATTCATGACATTCGTAGCCCATGTGAAAGGGGGGCATATGATAAGCTGACAATGTACTTGTCGAGGCGTGTAATCAACTTTTGACAGAGCCAACTCTTGTTGAAACCCCTGCCTTTAGAATAACTAAATGTCAGTCTCAAAATATAGAGGCACATGATATTTTAACCTCTATTGTTTTTATACTCGTCGAGTTAAATATCTTTGATAATATATTTTGTAAGGGGATGGGGCAGCTCTCTGGGCTTCTTGGTATGATTGTTGAGATTTCTTTTTTTACAAATTTTAAGAACAGAATATTGCATCCTAATTTATTACAAATATTGTCTTAAATTTTCAGAATTGGTCAGACGAAAAATACAAACTTTCACAGGGGGAAACACTCATAAGACAAATCAGGTAATAAATCTAGTAGCTCCTTTAAGATTCTGGTTAGTATGGTAATAGATATGTTGTATTTTCAGCAGGCTCGACACTATTCATCCATAATCTCATTCCACATTCATAGCCCGGTAGATCGTCATAAAGATGGATTGAAAAAGTGTTCATGGAGCTAATTTTAGTTGAAATCAAAAAACGTGAAAATTCTAAATCTTTTATGTCGATTAGTCAAAGACATATTAAACGTTTGCTTTTACTGAACAATAAAACGGATTTCAATTCCGTATATTCCCATTGAAAATTATATCATAGCGAGTATTCAGGTTCAAAAGGCAAATGGCAGAATTATGGTAATCGCACTACCCCAGTCTTTAAAACATACATACCCCAAGGATTGTTTTGGCAATTCGTCACCACCAACCAATAACTATTGCTCTGTAGTAATTAATCTGCCAAACATATTTCCTTTTACTTTATTCGCGTTATAAACCATTTGGTTTGCTATATATATTTCAAAATGCACGCTATGATACGTGATATTTTTTTTAAAATAGATGATTGTGTACGAAATACAGACGATAACGAAACCGCAGTGGACTGTTTATGTCTTACAATTTTTCACCGCCCAAATTTTAGTTGTTCAATTGTGCTTTATAATAATATACAGATCATATGAATGTTTCCTTGGCGTATTTGGAATCGTTGTATTATCATTGGCTGTTGATAAAACAGAAATCTGTAAAATATAAAACAGGGAAGCTCAACCGAGAGAAAATGGATTACAAACATTTCTGATATCAATCTTGTGCAGTTTAGCAACTATTTAAACGCGCCCACAGTGAGCTGTCGGTGTGTGAGGTGATCACCAGACCAAAGTTAAAGAAATTGTTGTTTGCAACCTAATTATTTTCACGTCATATATTTTAACTACAGTGGTATATAATAATATATGTGTTGGAATATTTACAGGCGGAGTCGATTCTACTTCAAGAAAATAACAGAAGATCCGAATATGAAGCTACAGTAGACGGAGTACAGCAACGGTTACCATAAAGTTAAATGCTTCAAAAAGTTCAGATGAATAGTTTAATGTTTATTATTTATATGTTTTTAATTTTATTTACTAATATGTGATATATTAATCCCATTTCGTTTCTTTTTATGTATTATTACCTAATGTAGGGCGACCCATGATCAGAAAAGTATGTTCTTTTACGATATGCCGACGCACATGTAAAATGCATGTTTAACTGATTATGAAAAGATCGACGTCCATGAATTGTTGGACGATTAGCCTAATAGTGGTTTCATTTCTTTATATCCGCAGACAGGTCTGTTTATATGGGAGAGAGAAAGAGTTCTAATAATTTAATACCCTTAATTTTAGTCACACAGATACATAAAATTTAGAACATTTTAGAACAAGTTTAGCTTGATACTTCAAGTAATTTTGAAATTATTGTAACATAATCAGATCATCTAATAACTGTGGATTGGACTTCTTTAATTCAGCAAGACGGTAACAAACATTACACTACACTACATGTATAACAACCAATACACATTATAATATTGTAATCTTTACGGCCATCGTCTTAATTCACGTCTGCCTCCATGGTTCTGTGTTGAGCTACTCAACTCAACTAACTAAACTGACTTCATCAGAAACCTATACCAATTTATAGGTGAGGTATGAAGTTACATATTATTAATATGGAATAAAAATAATTATGATGACAGCTGAATACTAATAAATAAATAAATGAAAGGTCGGCGGGTTCTCCGACATGACCATTTCAATATGGCAGTAGCTTATCTTAACAATAATCATATCGATGTTAGAAACAGCGGTTAGGTCAAAAGGACAGCAGAGATTTCACCCTTTGTTACATTATTGACATTTTTTTTTTCATTTTTCTGGGCGCACCGGTTTAGACCAATCCACCTCGGAAAAATGTCTACAAAATCTTTCTTTAATAGTCGGAATTTTTGGAAAATATTTTGGATCGAGAGGTTTCATAAGGCAACACTTCCATGAAAAAAACTTAAGAGCCAAATAATCGTAGCGCGAATCGTGATAGTGAGAACCTAGAATATTAGCGTTAATCAAGTCGTTATGAATAATAAAACAAATAAAAGTCCGTACATATTTACAATATTTTTAAAAAAAAAAATAAACTTACATGAATCTTAATTTGAATTGAAACCTCCGGAGATGTTTAGAAACCTATGGCTATTAATAATGTCAAGATTGACAAGAATTTATTGCCATGTATTTCTATATAGTTCGGGGATATTTCTATCCCCATTTTAGCATTTTCTGTAAAAAAAACCTTTCACATTTATGTTTATGCAGTGTTTCGTTTCGTAACTTGGTTAAAATAAGTTCAAATAATTACAAGATGTTTGATTTAGATTGATCATTATATAACTGTGATCGAAGATAGTATTAAAATGAGGATATGCCCATAGTGTGTTAATTTCCTTTTTTGAATAATTTATTAATTGTTAATAAAATCCTGTTTACATATTTGTATCTTTTTTTCCGATAAATTATTTGTGTTTTTTATATGTTCATTAGAGTATTGAATAAAATCAAATCCGAACTACTTTTTGTTTTTCGATTTCCTATTTCTACTTTTAATTTTTTATTTTGAAAAATAATTTTTAATTTTGTAGAATAATTTTTAATTTTGTAGAATAATTTTAATTTTTAATTTTGTAGAATAATTTTTAATTTTGTAGAATAATTTTTAGTTTTGTAAATTAATTTGTAATTTTAAACTTTTATAATTTTGAACTTATAATTAATTTTATATTTTGTATTTTAATTTCCATTTTGTAAAATAATTTATAATTTTGTTTTTTGATTCCTTGATCATCATCGTGTCATGTTGCTCGCCTGTGCGACGTAGCCTTGAGATGCCTCTCCGCTATACGCCCGAGATTTAGGGACGGTTTTTAAACTTTCATGATAAAAATAATTTTTAATTTTGTAGAATAATTTTTAATTTTGTAGAATAATTTTTAGTTTTGTAAATTAATTTGTAATTTTAAACTTTTATAATTTTGAACTTATAATTAATTTTATATTTTGTATTTTAATTTCCATTTTGTAAAATAATTTATAATTTTGTTTCTTGATTCCTTGATCATCATCGTGTCATGTTGCTCGCCTGTGTGACGTAGCCTTGATATGCCTCTCCGCTATACGCCCGAGATTTAGGGACGGTTTTTAAACTTTCATGATAAAAATAAAAGCAATAGATAAATTATTTGTCTTTGTTTATATAATCATTAAAGTATTATTAAAATTAAATCCGTATGATGGTTTATTAAAACAAAATCTGTATGATGATTAAATTATAATTTTTAAACTTTCATGATAAAAATAAAAGCAATAGAGTTGAGGGAATGGTGGATTTGGATTGCCCTTGAACCTTGGTAAACATGTTTGTATGTCTCCCGCAACTGCTCGAGAATGAATGGGTAAACTGCATGTTGTACAAATTATTTGTATCTTTTTTTTTCCGATAAATTATTTGTCTTTGTTTATATAATCATTAAAGTATTATTAAAATCAAATCCGTATGATGATTTATTAAAACAAAATCTGTATGATGATTAAATTATAATTTTTATACTTTCATGATAAAAATAAAACCAATAGAGTTGAGGGAATGGTGGATTTGGATTCCCCTTGAACCTTGGTAAACATGTTTGTAGGTCTCTCGAAACTGCTCGACCATGTGTGGGTAGACTGAATGTTGTAAAAATTATCCTTAGTCGGAGTACATAACAAAATATACAACTGACTAAAGGGTTTTTAGTGGGGTAAGGGTTACTTCGGTCTGGACAGGGTTACACGCCAATAAAGAGTGTGACAATTAGCATGATGGTTAACTACACAACAGTATCCCCTGTATATCAAAGACCGCTTTTACACTCAAGTACACCACATGATATAATTGGTTGAATGATTTCACAAAGTAAACCGATGCTCGGTGCTGCTAAAACTGTGGGTATAGACCACGGGTTATCTTTACGGCCTAATGTTTGGGTTAGCCACCAAGGCAGGAATACCACCAAGTTTTATGATGCAATCATCGATGTGCAAGTGCCACTGATTCCTGTTACCCCTATAGTTGCGCACACCAACCAAATGGATATTGAACTTAATGAGGAATCAGAATAAAAATGATCCTCGCGGTGACTTATTCCCCCTTATAAATCCGGAGTTTGACTGTATGGCATGTTTTACTGCCCCTTTAATAAGCTTTGAAATAAACTAAATGACATGCACGGTATAAAGCTATTTGTGTTTCCATTGACTATGTTTTGGGAGCGAAATGCGAGGCTCTTCTTCAAGAGATAACACAGCTGTCAAATTCGTAGAATCCGTCTGTCGGACATTGAGCGAACATATGGTGTCGGTGAAAGGTGCCCGAACATCAACGAATACTCACTATGTGTTAAAGGTAATCATAAGGATATGATATGATCAGCCAGTAAGGGGAATGATCAGATCCCTTTGTCTCAATAAACTCACCATAATGGATTGAAATGTGTAATCCACATTTTACAAAGACAGAAGGAGAACAGGAGAAATCAATATGATTAATCCCCACATTGGCCCAATGCTACACGTCGAATTAGAAAATAATCTGTTGGAAATTGATTCAAGATTGACCATTTCAAAAGTGATCACCGCTATTACTGTCCATATTGTGAATTATGATAAAGTATACATTATTTAATATGCTCAAGTATACTGTGTATAACGCCCTGTGAATACACATACCATAACTCTCGTGTTGTAACATAATTTTTCAATAGCGTTCAGTTTAAAAATTAATACGAATCTGTAATTCCTAAATAATTAAATGTGAATTAACAACAAGCTATCAAAATCGAACCCATTCAAGATCTTGTAATCCTCAAATTTCATCTGAATCGGAAGGGTCTCTGAGGGGTCTATAAACTTTGTATATATTTCATATTTTGCGTAAAAGTAAGAAGTGGGGGGTCATATCTTAGTACCAACATATAATTACTGAGTAGACCCATCGAAATACAAATTGCATTCTGAATGGTTTGGTTGAAACAATTTAGTTATATAGATCGGCAAGTTGAGTTCTTTCTCGAACGCAGAGAGAGAGAGGTGGGGAGAGAGAGTCTGGATGTACCATACATTGTCAAATATCTTGTGTTAAAAACATCACAGACCGAAATCCTGTGGCATGTAGTACCACACAGGGCCTACGGGGATCTGGGAGGAATTTTTTTAATTTCATTTTTACAATAATTCGTTTATTTTTCGATGTAAATTATCTTGTAGAACCTTTGTGGTTAAATCAACACAGAATAAAATATCTTGTAGACTATACTGCCCCCTTTCCCCACATCTTAGAAGATGACAGGATAAACTATTACTGTTTAAGGAAAATACAGAGAAAACTCACCCAACTTTAAATAAAAATAAAAGATTCCAATACTAAAGGAATCCAATGACAGATAGGTGATATCCTTCCAGATTCCTGATGACGATAAATCTAACCGATTTGGACTGAGGCTATCAATAAGCTGAGAGTCATTAACGATCTCAATACAGATTGTCTAGAAAAAGTAAGCATACATCTCCTTGTGTATGAATTATTAGGTAGTTTTGATCTGGTTTCTAGAAACATGTGCTGAGTTATGTGTATTCAAATTTATAATTTGTTCCCACATTTTATAGAGAGGTAAAAAGAAACATTTATACGGTCTCAAAAACCATTTCATTTTAGCCACTAGCATCCTCTGACGGGGCGCTATTGTCTCCAACAAATAAATACGCAATTTGAGCTATGTAAAAGGAAATGAGGAATAAAATGGTTTGGATTATTACGTAATTAATTTAAGCTGGTTGGTGACATTCTAGACAGTGCGCCCTAGGCTAATATATCTGTATTGAATACAAATGTGCTAGCCTATATCACACTGGTGTCAATTATCTAGATATAAATATTGTTCTCGAGACTCGACAAAGCTGTTATTGGACGGGTAATTCCCCCCCCCCCCCAAAAAAAAAAAAAAATAAAAAATCAAGTTTATCATTTACATGGAAAACATGTTGTTTTGAAAAATATTATTGTTTATAATGTATTCATGAAAGATTCAAAGTGTTGTTTCTATTCTTTTACAATTTTTTAATCCCTTTATTGATGATTTTCGGTTAATCTAATCGGTCAAAAAGCTCAAAGGGTTATATAGGTAACCTACATTAAAATTATTAGAACATGAGACTGATAAACAAAGGTTTGTCATTTTGTTTGACAATTATCATTTTAAGGTTTCCGGTTTCCACTTCAGTTTGCAACGATCCCAACAATAGCTTTAAACAACGGGCTTTTCTAGGGACTGATAGCATGTCGTACAGTACTAAGCCCAAAAACAATAACACTTTCACAATTTCAATCTTCCAGGTACCACAGAAAATATTCTAAAAGAGAGCATCAAACTGGGGTTTGGCACCAATGAAAGATACCATCATAGCTATAGTGAAGGCCCCTGGGCCCAGCTACCAATTAGATCCATAAACCCGTGCACGTTCGCCATCTTACGGTTTCCCACACAAAATCCATTTTAGTACCCAGAGCAACTCCTTTGGGTGAAATGTTATCTTGAACGCTACCCTGCAAAAATCAATGTGTCTTTATTTAAGGAAACAGAATCGAATAGGTCTACTATATATTGATCTCATTCTCCTACCCAGGCTGGACCAAGCTTGCTATGTGGCTTCTGTGACAAGTTTCTCGGGAAACACTTATCTGCAATATCAGTCTAGGTGGAAACGGGCGTTAACCTTACCCCCATCGGAGGGTAAAGGTACAGCAAGAAGGAAAGACCACTGGATGTGGATGTCCCCGAAATATTGCAGGGTACATTGCCTAAACTAACTTCCGAAATAGCAAAGAATATTTGTTTTTTCATAATAGTCGTCTTTGATTAAAACCAGTATATCGTCCATTGAAGTCCAGAAACGATGTCCGTATCTTCGGGACACAAGAGGAGGGAACTGCGACTCTATTTCCTGTACCAAGATGTCGGTGTCGCCACGGCACATACTGCCTGTAAGCCGCTTGTCGTTATCTGCGATTAACACCTTCGTCCATACCTATTGCTAAGACATTGGATCGGTACACATTGACAAGATCCAAAACTCTTTACTCTAAGCAATATTGTTCAAACTACTGAAAACATTAAATTAACTATTATTAAAATCTATTTGCAGTAAACCAGCTAATTTAAAAAGGAGTGAGATAAGTGGTTTATATTGTTTGTTTTTACCAGGTCTATGACATTAGTCTTCCTTGATGAAACCTTTGGAAGGATATTATGACATAATGAAATACAATTCTCTAGTCTGTTACCGCAACATAACTTTTCAGTATCTGTAGGCGTGTCTCCACATCTGTCACAGGAACACTAATCTGGCACGGTTGAGGTTGGATTTAGTGATTGATATAACTGTTGATTCGCTAGTTCTTCCGAAATATCAAAGAAAATTGCGGGCACTTTTCCAGCAACGAACAGCATGTCCCCTACATCCATTTACTTCTAGCTCATTTATCATTATCTAAAGCATGCAAATTGTTATTGCAATTATCCCCAAGCTCATATACTGTAAATATTTTATATAATTATTACCAGAAATGATAATATATATTTATTTTATTTCTTATCCAATAAATTATAAGATAATGAATTTTGTTATCAGGCGAAGCGAGTGGTAATCAATTTGCTCGAGACGAAGTTGCCTAGGCTAAGGTACCGGTAAGATTAACAATGACGACGGATATTCCAATAATTTACTGCGCAATTCGTCCCCGATTTTGAAGCTATGAGAGTATATGTAAATCATTGTAATGAATATAAACTTACCGGGAAAAATGGAATCATTGTGTGGGATGAATCGTAGCAGTTTATTCCTTCTAAAACTGTCAGTCATCTATCATAGCGGGAAGAGAGATGTCAGCCGTGTAGGTGACGTTTTACGCATGCGCTACAACTGGATTATTCCTTTTCCGGTTTGTAGAATGTTTTACCAGTTTCATTATTAGTGAAATTTGTGAGAACGCCACTGGCCTACCTGAATGTTTCCAATGTTTTTTGGGTTTTTTTTTAAATAGGCTTGTTAAGGTGATATATATAGTACCAATAAATTGGAGTATTTTATAATAGTATAATTTGTTGATCAGATTTGAGCATTTAATTTATTTACAGAAAGATTCGGTCTACCCTTTAACCTTTTCTAGAATTGTGACATGTTGAGGAAAGGCTTATTTTCGACCATTGTTTTTAAAACATTCACGCTTGGCATCCATCCTAGCTGGAAACGGCACCTCACGATCAGTGTTGTTGCTCCTAAATTTTGGAAGGATTTATCTCTGAAAATTAGAAACTGTGAAACTTTGATTACTTTCAAATCACAGCGAAAGACTTGGGAATCCTATCAGAATAATACTTCTGTTCCCTCTGTTTTTATTGCGCTTTTAGCATGCTTTTGGGTGGATTTGGCGGTCTAGAAACGTACACTATTATTATCATATAAATTTTATATTCTATTTTCATTTCGTGATTCATTAATATATTTATAACCGTCATTGTAGACGTCGTAAACACGTGAATGGAATGTTTTTACAAACATAACAATACAGTCATTCTGACATTCACACACGTGATAATTGTATTCAATAGTGCATAGTGGCTATTTATATTATGTTTATTTACATTGATCATAGAGGAAGCTATTTAATATGGACGATTTCCCGTGACAGTAAAACATATCATCAAATAATATTTGCGTATTAATTTTAATGAAATGGTACACAGTTTATTGTAAGGGATATAGAAGGGCAACGCAGTGAGTTTTTGGGTTTTGTTTTTTAATAATTGGCTGTCGTTGTTCAGCCTCAGTTGATAATATAATATTATGTCAATAATTGCACGGGGAGTTGGGTTGGGTGGACATATGCATCATAAACATAAAGTAAGTCATTGAGTCAAGTGACGTGGTTTTGATTAATCGCTTGTATGTGACGAGTAGTTTTGCCTGTCCAACCTTGTTGGTGTTATCCGAGCCCAACTGCTACGCGCAAGCGAATAATTGAAATAAAATTGAACCATGGTATTCCCGAAATGACATAGTGGGTGTCGAGTTGACGTTAAACTATGTCACGGTGGCTAAGTGGGTGAGACGCGGTATCGCTAGCTTTTGGGTCGGGTGTTCGAAGCCTACATTTTCCGACGTGGTTTCCCGTTGTCAGTGTTGGAGGATGGAGGGTCTGAAAAGGACAGCTTTCTAGTCGTTCAGATGGGACGAATAAACCGAGATCCCGTGTATACATTGGCATGTACGTAAAAGATTCATTGGCAGTTTGAATTCGATATAAGAGAAGCAATAGTGCCGCAACCCGTTCAAATTTCCCTCATAGCACACTATATGGCGTATACCCGTCTTCATTATCCCAGTCCTAGCAGAACAGTAGGACGTTAAACCCCAATTTATTTCATTTCTATTCTGCTGTGTTATTATAAAAAGCTTTCAGTGTGTTAATCTATATGCCCAATTTTACACAGCGCCCACCAGTCCCCTGTCCTGCACCACTGACAAGGGGAAACCACGGTGAAATATCCCGATGAACTTTCTCGGACGACACCGGGAGGGAACACGAATGAAATGGTGTTTCATGGCTGGTGAACACGGACCACGCCATACTAGACAAAATGTGAACGACGATCAATGCGAGAGGGACATAAACAATTTCACCCATTATATTGTGCTGTAGTTTGTTTGTGTCGGCATGATCCCACCGGTCAAATCATAAACGTGTATGAGGAGAATTTTATAAAATTTCCAAGTAAACCCCAAGACCTCACGGCAAACCCAACTTTATCTTGCCCGAGGACCCTACCCTGCTAACATTCCTTCTTTGTAACCATCCGTATAATAGAAGCATACTCACAAATTTTAGATCATGACTCAGATAATAGTGCCTGGAAAACGATGCGACTATAATATCGTTCTTTTTGTTTTAATCTTTGGGAGAAATATGGCCCAAGATGATGGATATTCCCAACATTGTCAACCTCAGACAAAAAAAGGTGTATGCGGAAAATGTCCGATGAAATAACCGCTAGTGATGTATGAAAAATTATTAGGCAAGGATGTAATTGCAGCATACTGCATATGCGCCTCGACATATAAAGTGTCCACTAGATATAATAATAATAATAATGTACATTTATATAGCGCTTAATCCATCCATGAGCATGCTCTAAGCGCTGTAAGTTAAGAGCTTCTGTGGATAATACATCGTGAACATATGCGTCTTAAGTCTAGATCGAAATTGAGCAACTGTTTCTGAACACTTTATTTTGTCAGGTAAGTCATTCCATAGTCGTGGACCATATACACTGAAGGCTTTATCACCAAAAGATTTTAATTTAGTTGAAGGTACAACAAGTGATAGATTATTCTGTGAACGGAGTGGTCGGTTTGGTACATAAGACTGCATAAGATCTGTGATATAGGATGGAGCTGAATATGCTGAGACTTGTAGTCCAGTGTTAAGATTTTAAAGATATGTACATAAGATATGTACAACATGTTCATAAACTTGATTATGTATGATGTATCAATAATCGAGTTTTGTTATAATCTTTGCTGAACAGTACCTTATGGCCTCTGGAGCCTTGTTAGTGTTTGATACGACTGTATATTATATGAAACTGAACAATTATGTTTCAACTGCAATTGGAAAAAGACTGCTTCGATAATTGAAATCCATTCCGAGTTGCAAATCGGTCACTTGTATTATAAATTTATTTTTTAATTGCGATGTTATTTCGACATGACAACTAAGATAATATAACCAACCAATCACTATTATATACATGTAAAGGGCAGATCCAAAGTGGAGGTGGGGGGGGGGGTACCGAAGAGCACCTATGATATACGACGGACGTTCCCCTTAGACGAATGTCTGCATTCATTTTGTAAGTAATGCCTGTCCAAGCTCGTGGATTTTCGTCGGCCCCCGCTTTCCACCCGCTGCTAAAGACACCTACGCACAGTTTACTTGTTAAAATAAGATTGAACCATATGTTAGTCCCGAAATGATAGGGACATACCCTTCGTGCGTCCTGAGTGTCGTATAAAGTCGACTAAATTGATTCCTGTAATAATGAATTGTGCGATGCGTTGCTACCCACGAGAGGGAAATCGTAGTATTTGTGAGTCTCTGCAACGCATTACTCCAGCGACTGGGTCTCCCGGGTCAGACCAATCTGACCAATCGGTGTTAGGCGTTTTAGTTCTAAAGAATGTAGGTTTACCCAATGCCATTACTTCACTGTTTGTTTCATTTTCACACAGGGCGACGGCTTGGGCCATTCAGGTTAGACTAGTATTTTTACCCCTCGTCGAGCCCTGTGATAGCCCCTCCCCCCCCCCTAGTCCACCGGGCAGTAACCAGGGGGATGACTAGGGATGGATCATAAAACATATTTCCAGACACAAACTTCATCACATTTCCTGATAAATTGTTTTAAAAGAGACACAATTATATAGAGAATTGTAATTGTATATGTCATCTTTATATAACCCGGTTGCAGCGGACTTGTCATAAAACTCCCATTTCATTCATTCATTTGTTCTTATGTTCAGCCCCGTCCCAAAGTTATAGATCAACCCCTGTAATGGTTACATATATATCAATTTCATATATATGCATGTCTAATAGGACATAAAAGAGAATTCATTTGAAACGGATATAATTCATTGTATAGCATAATGCCATGACCCGAAATCACATTCACTAATAAAAACCAACAAAGAAACCGAAACATTACTCACACAATTTGACATAAATCGGTAATGAAATCTCCGGGAATGTGTTTTGCTATCAATACTTTTGAGGTATAGTATTAAAATCGACGTCCCCGGGAATTTGTAAATTACATGTCACAACATGAAGTATTGAAAGTAAATGAATAGCTGTTGGCACACATCCAATAAATGAACACATTAAACATCAAAGATTGGAAAACCGGACTTCACAATGTAACTTTTGAAATTCATTCAAATTGTTTGTACTAAGATATTTGCTGACATTTATTGTATAAATTTTATTTATGTTGTTATTAGCAGTTGCAAAACAAGGTTTACCACACAAGCGATTAACAGAAGGGTTAAAATATAGCATTATTATTAAATTATGATATACACACCCGCGCACCAACACATTTGTTGCGGGCGATAGGGGGTTATATCAGTAAAACCGTAAAGCTCGACTACTTTGATTCAACGCTCAACGCTGGTTTAATAACATTTTAACGTATTAAAGTGCTTTCGGTCGTTTTGGTGAGATGCTCACAAATAATTCTTTTGTATAGGGATGGACATAGTACAACAATTTATACGGTACATGTTTACATAGTAACATTGCGGTTTTAATTGTTTATAGTCACAATAGTACAGAGGTAACTAAACGAAAACATGTATACACGTGTGTAAATCTGTTGTATATGGGTATAATTTAGGAGCAATGAGTGGGAAATAATCTCGGGATAGATAAAGATAATTAATCGGCCACTTTTACTTATTGACTATTAAGTCTAGGAACATATTTTTAATAAAATGGTTTTCCATTATTTTTCTTTCTGTTAATATGCCATCGACTTTCATTTTATAAAACGGGACAATTTTGAAAGTTATTTGTAGGTGTAGTGCACATTTAAATGTGTGTCTATTTACAAAAAAAGGCCAATTTACAATGTTACCATATAAACAGGACAATCGATCTGAAAAGTTTGTGTGATTTAAATTTGATGATGGCTGAATGAACTCAGTTTTAAATATAGAGGCGGCAGATGAAGGCCCATATAATTGGTCTTCAATGGCGTGAAAATTGCCGAGGCTACCCGGTCACCATCTTTAGAACGGTATGTGTAAATATGAGCATAATTTGCATATTGAGGCCATGATTTGTGACAAACTGCTTAATGTTCTATTTTATAAAATACGAACTATTATTTAGATTCTGTGAACTTTTTGACCCAGCTGGTTTTGATAATATATGATATTGACGTTTCAACTCTGTATATACTTCTGTTAAGGCACGAACTGGCTAGGATCTAATTAAACATGTAATTCGTCACATATATCATTTACAAACTATGTACAAGCTCCACATGACTTCACAGGAATGCGCACTGGTCAGTAAGCATGCCATGATGTGATAAATTGAAAATTGCATGTATGATCATGAGTCATATCTATTTTCCCTGTTGTCGGAGTCTATATAACCAGGAGTTTGGAGACAGAGAGGCGAGGACTAGAGACGGTGTATGGACTCATCCGAATTCAGCCGCTGTCGTGGCAGGATGACGGAATGCTTGTCTTAATGTACCATGTTAATGTTATCGTTTATATTCCCCATGTAGTTTAGTTCCTGTTGTATTTATATAGCTGTTTTATATACGTGATGTAAATAAATGATATATTTACTAAACTTATATCTGTTATCACTAAAATAGTGTTACATATTCTCTAAAGAAAGACTAGGACACGTGAAACGGGAATCTTTCTTTTCATTTTGTGCAACATAGAAATCGATCTTGGGGGTAGATATGACCAACGGCGTTGTCCTAAAAAAAGGACTGCCATCTATATAAAGGATACATTCAGCAATATCAACCAAATGGCGTAAAGACACATACATCTGGAAAAAACGCATTGGTACTTCAGAGTCCCGGGACCCATATAGGTGTACAAACTGCCTGACGGGACTGATACATCCCACCGAAATCAATATTTGCAAATATTACCCAACTTCTATATAAACTGTATTAAAGGTTTTCGATTTGGATCAAGTTTTGTGAAAAGAATTCACAATAATTTTACTTACTTTGAACTTTATCTGTTTCTTCAAACATGCAAAGATTTCCTTACAAAAACATTACGTGTTTGACAATAAAATGCCACTCTACAAATATCTTTACAATATGACTACACTTCTTCAACCTGACCTTAGACCTACCTAAAACTGACATATAATAAAATACTGACCATAACACACATATGCATTGCAACATTGTATTCACTATATCATGGGACATGAGAGTCACTTCGGACCTGAAAATCTTTAAAATCCCAAAATTTCGGAATTCTAAAAATATCTACATTTCCTTATTTATTCAGTATTTATACTCCAACACACAAATATGTTTTTGTCCGTTATAAATGTGCATCTTGATAAACATATTCTCTATATAATATAATAATGCAGTTATGTTGCGTGGAACTACTGTCTGTCCCAGGTAATACTAAGACTCAAAAATTGCTTGCTATTTCTTTAAATTTTAATTAAAATGGCCAAAACTTCGTGAAATACCTTGAATGGTCACCCCATTAATTTCTTTCTTGAGAACTAAGTTCAGGTCAAGTTGTATAGCCTTTCTGCTTTGTAAAATCGAAGTTTGTTGACATCTTACTACTGGAAACAGCCATGTTTGACCTAGTTATTTAAACGAGCCTAAGTGGACAAGGGGGGGGGGGCTGGGATTGCTTTAAGTCGTTTTACCCTACTTGGTGGTTGTTTTGGTCCAGTAGAATATAACTCTTTTCAAAGAGTTATTTACTGAATCCCAGACCACGGTTGTTTGTCCCACTAACTTGAATATTTAATTGCCCTCCGTCCGAAGGTTGTAATTTTGTTGATATCGATATAAGCTACATGCTAATTTTAACCCGCTACCGTACTGACATGTGATGGAATTGTGGAAGGAGCCTGCAAGACATGCTCAAACGTAACTCGGTCTGCAATGTACATTGGTTATGGCGGTTTGCATTATTCAGTGGCTTAAAATTTGCCTTTAGAACTGTTGGAAATTTTAAACTTGAGCTAAGACTGGCATGACGGTGATCAACTAATTTTCTATATAGCGCAATTCCTAATGAAACCGTCAACAAAAATAATACTACTATTATAAAAGATCATTTAGACAGTTATTAAATCAATAACATGACATATGTGACTGTTATCTAAATATTAAGATAAAGAGCTCATAGTTTAAATATTATAGTTTAAAAATAGATAATGATAAAGGAATATATTGACACTTCAGTCAAATTACATAATTCTGAGCGAAGCAATAAATGTTGGGAGTTTTGATAAGAAAAACGCAGTCTCGATTTCCAATGCTACCATTTTTACGATAATAAATATATTTTCGATTATCCATTTCACTCCATTAAAAATCACGACCATCCGATGCTTTATAGAGTTGATTATATAGGCCTACTGGTCATGAGAATAAATGTCTAATTAATAATTTAAATAACATTTAGGGCCTAAAGGAAGAGATGCAATAGGCAAATGTGCCTCTTACATAATTCATCTTTAAAAGAAATTCACTTACATACGAGCCATTACTGTGTAGATTGTGGATGGTCGCTAACTGGTCAGGTCAAATGTATCTAATTTTAGTAAACAGTTTTTAACCGTCCTTAATTTGCGAACCGGCTTTGTAGAGCCCCGTACAGAGAATTTACGTGTATATTTTTTCTTAAACTGTTCATTGGTTTATAATTCACTGTAGTATGTTTCTCAAATAACTACAGTAATATAATTGCTTGACACATTCCTTGACATATCGCGTATTTTTTATCTTGAAATTGTGCATAACAATATTCCATTAGTTTGTTTTTGTTATCTTTTCTACAATAAATCGGAAACAAATCTGTTGTGCCTCAATCTAAAAGTCTATATTTAAAGGAATACCGGTATGTGAAACTATCGTAAATCCAAAATTTTTTAAGATATTTTACAAATATTTTACACTTTATCCCAAAGGTTACTATTCCAATCCGATTAAAATACAGATCTATATTTCGTTTCGGTTTTTATACTTTCGATGGCCTACACTACTTGAGGATCTGACAAGCTATAGTGGAAGTTCACGTCGGGGGTCAACAGCGCGACTTTTGATATTATGACATCAGACATTGATTAATCAATCAGCGTTAACGTTTCTAGTGGATTACCCACAGTTCCGTGCATTAAAAGCCCAACAACTCGCCGTAACGACCGTTTCCATGGCTAATCCCTCACATCATCCAGAACACATCAATAATAACAACTCTGTGAGATTCTAGAGTAGTAAAGACAATTAAAACGAAATTTTGAACTATAAAAACGAAACAAAATAGATTCAGTCTTGCTCTGCTTATTTACAACAGCAGCTAAATTTTAACCCCTGAAAGTGTTCCGAAAAGGTAAAAAAAAAATGATCGTTTCTCTCAATCAGAGCTATAAAGTCTCAGAAAACAAAATTCGAAATCATTTTACCCGACATATTTATTAAAATTTAAATAAGGGCTAATAATAAAATAAAATAAAACCAAGTACGAACAATCCTAACCTATTCTTTTAATGACGGTTTAACTATTCATAACAAAACACAACACAAGGTATATCTGGATAAAATAAAATAATACCAAGTACGAACAATCCAAACCATAAGACAGAATTCGAAGTCCTAAAAACGTTATAGACAAAATAGTGTATTCAAGCAAAATAGTGTATTTAATAACGACGGTTCGTAACACATACAGGTCACGTTTTCAAGTTAATGATAAATATCCGTTCGTTCGTTCGTTTCTAGAGTTTCACGTCCACTTCCACCTAAGGTGATATCGTAGACAAGATAAATATCCACCTAGTCAGCCTATTTATACATATTTTAGCTTACACCAACTTAATTTATAATCAGACGAAACCATTAAAATAATTAGAAGCCCTACAATAACAATAACTAATACAAACACTAATATTGACTGACCCTTTAGTAAGATAATCACAGATAATCAGTGCTAAAGATCAAAGATCAGCCTTAATAGGGTTTCACCATATAACATCTTAATCAGATCAAGGACGAACCTTTTACACCAATTTACTTTATTTCTGAGAGTTCGCATGGTTCTGACATTTGCCGACTTTTCAAAATAGCTTTAATCTTTAAGTCACTCAAAATTATCCAATGAGAATTTTTGTGCGAAATAAGCAAGGTGGAAACAGAAAAAAAAACCATATCAATCTGAACAAAAACAATATTGTTCCAAACAAGCTTCAAAGTGTGAAAACCTAATAAGTATTATTGTCGCGAAACAAACGGGCGAATTCTCCTTCACTAGACATGTCTAACCGAATGCACCAAATTTGTTGAAGTACCTGTCTACCATAATGCGAAATGCAAGTGCCCCATTTAACGCACGCGTAGTCGAAATGTTTATGTTCTGGGAAAGTGACAATGTCGAAATATATGAAATTTACAAGAGAATACTGGATTTTATCGGACTTCTAGTCATTTATTCTAAGGGAAGAAATCAAAGGGATGACAATCCCAGGTATGTCACAAAGTTTTCGAGTCTGAGTATCACCTGGAACAGTCAGTAAGAACATATTCATATATTTTGTACTAAGGGTCCGGTTAACCTTATGAAACGTATAGCATGTCATGTAGGAGTATACATACGTTTTCACAGCTTCGATACCCATTTGGAGAATTATAATACAGAATTATAATATCCTCTTTTGAAGCTTCTTGGTTGTTGTGGTGAGGTGGAAATTAGTTGCTTCTGACTGTCGATCATTATATCGTGAAAAATATTAATCAACTAGTATATTACTGAACTAGTAAAATAATGTTTGTGTCAGATAATTTCATAACTAACGGGTAACAGAAATGAAATGAGATGAAAAGGGATTATCATACTACAGTGACAATAAAGATGACCATCTGTCAAGCAGTGTGCCGTGAGTATGAACCGCGGCGTTGATCTTCGTTAAATTACACTGTTACAGTTGGCAAGGGTTATTTGATGTGCACGCCGATTGTAAGATATTTCGGAATATGCAATTTGATTGCACATTTTAATAGTTATTATTTTTTTATTTTTAAGTTACATGGTCTTTTTTGTTTTTCATTTGAATAGCATCTCTGGTATCATGAAAAGTGACAGTGGTTGTTATCTTATGCTGTTTTGCCTAATTGTACTAAAGGGTAATTAATTTCATCAAGCAATACATAATTCTACCTTCTGTGTAAAATCATAATTAACCAACAGATCTAAATATATATTTCACACATCATTAACAATAGATTTTATATATATTTCACACAGATAAGTTTTTAATTTTATATTATATATCGGGCATAGCGCCAAGTTTAGAATAGGTGCCACTAATTTATTTGTTTACTTTATGTGCAGATTCTGTGTCACAGAAGATTATCCCAGAACATCCTGGCCAAGCTGTAGTAGTGGGCTGTAATGCTAGGTTGGTCTGGAATTTAAACGGACATAATTATAAAACATCAATTTTCAAGGTTAGTTCCTTCTCATAGTAGTTACAGCAAATAGAGAGAGAGAGAAACGGGGTTTAACGTCCACACGACACAAACCAGGTCATTTCTCCTTGTCACGTACAAGTTACAGCAAATAAACAAATCAAATGTCATTTACTGGAAGATCGATGTATGACCTTTCTTATTTTCAAACTAATCTTCAAACCAATCTGTCAGGATTAACTAATCGAAAGTGTTTTACAGATAGAACAAAAAATAGCCTCGGGTTGTCCATATCTCGCCTATTTCTAGGCCGAACTTCCTCCGGTTTCGATTTTTGGATTCTTTTAACAAATAACATGAGGGTCCTGGCTGAGGGTTTTCGAAGACAAATTAAGGATTTTTGCTACATTGGGGGATTTGGTGGAAATTTATTTTACCGAAACAAGTATACAAGTATGTACTTCCTTGTGTTCTATATATAATTTGTGTCATTTAATATGGAATGGAATGTATTTTAATTGTTTACAGAAATCACAACAGTTATACAATGACAGAAAATACTACATCGACAGAAGCCAGGATGATAAAGTGATATTAATTATAAAAAATGTAACTTTGGACGATGGAGGTATTTATAGATGTCAAATAGATTCAACAGATGATGACGAAAATATTCATCTTACTATTACAGGTATGGATTAAGCTTTAGCAAAAACGCATACTTGTCTGGTAAATTACCTATTTAATGCGCATTAACATATTTCAGAATATCATGAACATGAAATACATTGTCCTGCAAAAATACATCTTTAAAAACGTTTCCTAACCTTCCTTATTACGCAACGAGTAGTTTTGTTTATAAATAATATGCCCTTTACAGTACATAGGACACAGATTCAGAAAATAGGGTCGATACTTCTCTCTATGATAGTTTAAAAATAGATAATTATTCTGCGCACAGAATAGTGTAGTCATCGGATGTCATTGCTACCATTGATGCGATAATATACAAAGTCTCGATAGTCTGTTATTAAATTAATTTATTAAATGGTGATCGTGTTTCAATCCATTAAACATCATGACTTTCTGATGATCTAGATTATGGACTTGTCATATAAATTATTAATAAAACGTTTGAGACAAAAGTAAAAATCAGGTTCAAGTTCACAAAGCATTCTCAGACTTAAGTTAATAGTAAGTGCAGGGGAACTGCACCACACAAAATTTACACAAAAACAAATACACGGACAAGACATCATACTTCGGAAAACACAGACAAACAATTAAAAAAAGTGAATGGATCACTGTTTATGAGAAATTTCTTTGATCCAGAAACCCAAACATTCGCTCATAGTTTTCTTATTGGTGTATTTGATACATTAACCAGTTCGACGCGGATGACGAGATATCTCGCAGAAAATTACGTTGCCGACACGCGGTAACGAGATAACTCGCGAAATTAACATATGAAAACACGCCCCTGAAAACATTTCATTCTGATTGGCCCGAATAACTTGATTGACTTTAGCGTGTTCCCACTTTGTCTAGTGTTGTTATTACGGGGTTATGGAGTGCATAGATGGCGATAATTGTCGTTTATTGTGGGTTATTTTTAGCAGTCAGCTGACCGCTCGGAATAAACAATAGCGGCGCCCAGAAGAAAACGAGCCCTTACGGAAAACGAAATACAATACATGTTTGCAACGTCAGGTTCCTCTTCTTCTGATTCCGACGACAGTATTGATGACAATGTGGATGATAATTCGAGTGGAAGTGAGTTTAAATTGGGTGAAATTGGCGACAGTTCAAGTACCGATAGTGATTTTGACATTCACAACACTGACGTGCCTGAAAATAACAATTCGTTGAATTTGAATGCTGTGAATGGAAGGTCTAAAGCAAAACGGAATCGAAATTATGTCAATTATGCTTTCTACAATTAGTGGTGCTTTTTATTTGAATACAATACCATAAATAGCCAAATTTTGACAATTAATGTAAAAGGGGCAATTTTTCCAAAAATAATCCCGCGTGGGGTGTCTGGGCATGACAAAACAAAAAAATCCAGCGTCGAACTTGTTAAAACAACAAAAGTTGTATAAAGGGCTATATTTTAATTAAAATAGGGCGAGCAATTTCGAGTAAATTATTAACTTAAGTCTGAGAATGACTTGTGAACTCAGGGCCTGCAATAGGCAGATCCAGCACATACTTTCTGAAAGGATGGAAATCTACTCAAAATTCTATACAAAATGGCAGAGGACAGCATAATCTCTCAGTTAAAACAACTTTTTTTTTGCAAAACCAAAATAGATTTCCAGTGGCAAAATGGTATTCAAACCAAGCCTGTCGATGTTGGTGATACTGTAACTATTATATGGAAATATGCTAGTAAAATTAAAGCTCACAATATTTCCATATATAGGCAAAACGGCATAAAGGTAGGTAATCTTATTATTTTCACTTTAAATATCGACATCTTTCTGAAAACATTTTAAAGCCCTGATTCAAGTCTTAAATGTTAACCATTCAGAACTGCTATACACGGGATGATATGACTTAATTATTGTGTCCGCTTGCAATCCAATAAGATTATGGTTTTACAGCAAGAGCTTGTTGTTGGGGAACCAAACACGACAGACACAAAAGGCAAGAGAATAACGGTTTACCAAACCAATGATATCGATGGGACCCATACAGTAAATTTTACTGTTCAAGATATAACAATTGGTGATCTGAAGTACATGTACATCATCAAGTTACAATTCGTCCATGCCTGCTTTAAATATGAAGATTCCGTAAAACTAAAGGAAAGTAAGTTGAACTTCATAAGTATTGTTGTCGTTGTCTTTAACATCACATGACTACCACACCTGCGGTTGTCATCCAGATTGTTGCCATGGTATCTAACATTCCATTCTTCTCGGAACTTTTATGTTAATACATTGTAAACTGAACATGATTGCAAACACAATTTAATTTAACAAATAATTGTAATGTTGAATGTTGTTTGAGATAATGAAGTGTCTCTCCTAGCAACTAAATGTGGATCCCAATTGTATTACAAGATATTTAGAGAGGGGCGTACATTACATTAATGCTGCATACACGTTTTATGTCGCAGAACAAGAAGTAAACATATACAGTCCAACAAAAATTATTGAAGCTCTTCCCCAGGATGATGTTCATATTGTATGGTATTATGAGTATATGTATCCTGTAATAAAAATAGTATTCACCCGGCATAAAACAACAAATCGGGTAGGTCTATAACTGTTCCTATTTTCTCGTACGTCAAAAGCAATTTGTCTGCCGATTTGAACATATTCTGGTGTGTGAATTTGTATCCGGTAGAGTTCGATCGAGGTTGGGTTTAAATGAGATTCTTCGATTGTTAGCTAGGTTATTACCCTTGATTTAGTAAACATGCGTCAAAATGAACCCTGCCATGCATCATTATTTTCATAACCCGTAAATGATTTCTAAATGTAAGATGCAAAACATGCCCCTCTTGATTTCATCATTTCGTTTATGTTCAGCTACTTTTGTTTTTACCTTTTACGCGGATTGAGGTTTTACTGTTTAATTTCAATATGCCCTGTACACGTGTGATCGATACTATGTTTCTGTTTAACAGATTGACACAGTGGGATATTGGGCTGATGGAAAGTTTGAGCCTAAAATATCGCATACTAAACTTAAACTAACATTTAATAAAACAGAAGTAAATATTACCGATGGTGTGCAAGGGAAGGTTACTCTAACTATACTTAATGCAACAACAGATGAGTTCGGTTATGCCTATGTGTGTCAAATGACATTTCCTGATAAACGACGAAGCTCGTGGAATATATTCCTTAAAGGTAAGTGACGCCTTATATTTGCGAATTCAATATAACAGAAAGACCTGCTTGATATTTCATTGGCTATTTAGTTTTGTTAAGATTAACCATGGATCTTGTAATGCATGTATTTAGGTTCATGGATAGGCTAACACCGACATTGTGTTTGATAAAACTGAAAACATTCACCGAAGATGACGGTGTATTGGGATCTGTCAGCAAATCAAGCAGGTCGATTGTCCAGTATTGACATCATGAAAAATGAAATATCACACATAACAAAAGTGTGCATAATACTCAAAACGTTTTACAGGTTAGGCGTATGTAATTATTGAGTTTTCAGAAGTAGAAAAATAAGAAAACTAGTGGAAAACATCAATATTACTCTTTAGTGTATTAATGTAACGCAGTTACGGAAGTTTTGGCGATTGGCGGTAAGATAAAACATACAAAGACAAATGAGCAAAACAATGTACCCGTCTTAGTAAAGAACGTGTCGTAGCGGAAAAATGCAACCTTTATAAAAAATGCTGCTTGATTCACTTCATAATTATAGAAACAAATAACCCATACCCGCCGAATAGTTGTAGTTCGGTCCACTGTCCTTTACGCAAATATATATATGTACAAAGTCTGTGACCCCTCCGTCAGATGTAGATGAAACTTAACATTAAACTTACATTATGGGAGATTCGATAACGAGTTGGCAGTTCTTACTATAATAGTTAATGTAAAGGCAATTTGCTGAAAATTTCATTCAAATTGATCCACTGTGAACCGAGCACAAAGCGATCGAATTTCCGCCTAGCCTTAATCATCATTACTAAAGTCAGTACGATAAACAGCATAGTCTAGATTATCCATTTAATCGTTAAATCGCGAAGGAACGTTATGCAGTAAATCGGCTCACAATCCACTAAAGATCGCAGGCTAGCGATGTCATCTGGAGTTGATTATGGTCTGGATAGGTTAATTAATGTCTAATTAATAATTTAGATAACATTTCAGGCCTAAAGAAAGACCTGGAATAGACAGATTTAGCTCTTGCATAATGTATGTTTAATATTTCGGCATCAAAAGACGTTGTTACGCTGCACATCGGACCTCACCTTCCGGAGTCACGCCCCTGCCTACTTTGTGTTAAGCATCAACAGATCTTGGATGAGTCCGATTTTGGTGCTCACCCGAATATCGTGGAGTTATGCTCCCTGCAAAATGTGAAATATGCACGTGTGCATCTGAACTTATTTTCTGGAGTTATGCCCCCTTTCGGAAAGCCTATATTTTTCTATGGTGAGTTCTTTGGTTATGATACATGCCTTTTACAGAAAGTGTGAAATATTTACAAACTTTGTGAATCCTCTTGAACTCACAATTTGTATCCGATTTAGATGAATTGAAGGAGATAAATATTTCGGATGAATGTGGTGTGCATCGGGCCTTCTGTTCCCCATGTATGGCCCCTTTTCGCAAAACAAAGACTATTTTTAACTTTTATTTTTTAAATTTGGTTTGGTGCATTGGGTCGACCATGAGCGGACGAACCCTATCGATAATTAATCAGCTATCCGTATCAACTTTGCGTAAGACATAGAGGCAACTGCTTTTAACATATATTTTCAAATCTGAAGAATTGGGTTCATAAGAGGGCCCCATCGATTTTCAACGTTCCGTAACCTTACGTTCCGGGTTTATTCCCCTTTGCAGAAAATATTCTATATGCGATAGTGACTACCGACTATCGATATTTATAGATCCGAAGTTGCCCCCTTTAACTGAAACCTTTTAAATGCGATATTTGTTTCAGTTTTTAACATATTTTGTTCGAATTGTCCCTGTTCTCTGTTGATATATTGCAATATGTTGGCATGACAACCGCGTGTAAAATTTTACAAAAAAAAGGCATATCATGATTATACTTCTCTCAAAAAATGATGGATATCACTTGACAGAATTAATATTTAAACCTGTGTAAATAAAATACTTTAATAGTTCCGAAGACAAATCCTACATATTTAAAACACAATACAGATAAACACGTTCCTGGTTTAAATTCATCGGTGTTTATTGTCCATTTCACCATTCTTGAATTATCAACCAGAAAAACTAAACAAGATAATATTTATTTTAAAAAAAAAAATAAATCACCTCGACAGTAAAATTTCTACATTTAATAATTCAAACGTTTATTTCTGTATAGTCTGAACGATTAACATTATCACCCCAAATACCCCAAAATGCCTGTCTTTGCTTAGTGAACAGTTGCATTTTCTAGAATACCTTCATCCATATCATTGCTGAAGTACATCAACAAGTTATTATTATTATAATGGTAATAACCAAACTGTTCTGAGAGATATCAATTATGGATTCATCTTGGAATACTGATACAATAACCACGAAGTAGTATAATCTTCAATATAATCTGATATAGCATGAGTTGTCTGGGGTTTATCCCCGATTGAGTCAAAGGTGCGTACGTGTCGAAATGTCACTAGGTTCAGATAATCAACAGGTTTATAAATCCGAATCAACACGTGTACTCTTTAAATTAGATTTAATTGATTAGAGTAATTATTTTTTCAGTATGTTGTACGTTGAGGCGTGTATTGCTTCTTGATTCCATTTCAGAAAAGTCAAATGTTTCATTAGATCCTGCTGTAGTGGCTGGTATAACTGTTGCTGTTTTATTTATTGCAGTATTAGTGATAGGAGTAATACTACTAATATTGGTCAAAAGTAAGCATTTTCGTTTAATTCTCTGAACTTAAGGGACCGATTTAAGAGAAACATCTCTACACAACTGCTTTAGAATGACCTTTTATTGCGTTTAATCACATGACGTAACATGTTAAACGTACACTGTCAGTAGAATTTATTAAAACAGAGCAAATATTAATACCTCGCTTTTTAATTTCAGAAATAATTATTAAATAAAAATGAAATGAAATGGGGTTTAACGTCCTACTGTTCTGCTCCTATACAGGGCTAATGAAGACGGGCATACGCCATACAGTGTGCTATGAGGGAAATTTTGCCCGGGCAGCGGCACTATCGCCTACTCTTATATCGAATTCCAACTGCCAAGGGATATTTTACGTGCATTCCAGTGTATACACGGGACCTCGGTTTTTCGTCTCATCCGAAAGACTAGACAGCTGTCCTTGTCAGGCCCTCCGTCCTGCATCACTGACAAGGGGAAACCACGCCGGAAAATCTGGATGAGCTTTCTCGGCCAATGCAGGGATCGAACACCCGACGTCCAGGCTAGCGAGCCAGCGTCTTACCCACTTAGCCACGTGATCCCCTTATTAAATAACAAAATCTGGACTTTACTAAATAGCCTACTAAAAAAGTCCGAAAAAAAAATAATTGAAAAATACCCAAAAACATTTTTAATTCTAAAATCCGAAAACAGGTTTTCCTAATAACCACTGGATACCGAAAAAATAACACTAATTACCCTAAAAAACCTAGGCCACACATTAAAATTGTTCGGTGGGTCATGGCTGCGGCTAGGCCATGTATAACAATTGTTGGAAACTCTTTGACTCGCATGAAAATGATGGACAGTCTAGGTGGGTAATGGGTCACGTTAGGCCACCCCTAAATATTGTTGGACACTTTAGGCTGGTCATGAATCACACTGTAGGTGAGTCATTGGGATCACTCTAGGTGGGTCATTTTTTTCAGGCGACAATTTCTCCCGTTTATACAATTGATCACAGTAAGCGTTCTTAGGTGGCATTTGGTCGTTTAGTATTTGGTTTTCAGCTATCAATATGCCACGTTTCAAGTAACAAAGGAAGGGAGATGAAAGTATGAGCAGACTGAGGGTGTGTGCCCCAGTCCACCACTGATGGTCTGTGTGGGCCATTGTGTCATATTCCACTACTGATAGCCTATTGCAGAGGTGGGCAAATGTTTTAGGTGAGGGCCAAACACAAAGTTTTGAAACAATTGTTTTAGGTGAAGGTCAAAACACAAAGTTTTGAAACAAATCGAACAATATTCGTAAAATGAAAGTAGGCCCAAGTCAAGTGACGTCATTAGGGTTGGGTCAATAATGACATTTTATTCGAATTTTTTTAAAATACAGGGTGTTTTCTATGGCCAAATAGACTGTTTCACTGGTTCGGATGTCTGTCAATGGTCGGATTGGAATTTTATTAGTAATATTATGGGCATAGGATGTTAAGTCAGATTCATATTTATGTGTCAATTTTGTGAGTAATCGCCGCCATCTTGGATTTCTTCCACAGTGGCTGCTCGAAAATACATTTCCTCTCTAGATTTGAACTCGGTGATCAAGGAAACATGAGATTAGACATATTTAGCTGATAGATTGTATATCGTATTAATATCTCCAAGTTTTATTCAAATTTTTGTATATTGATCGTCATTTTGGAAGAAAATGGCCACCATCTTGGATTATCAGATCTAACTTTTCTCAGTAAATTTGAACTTTGCGAATCCTAAAACATATGAAATGATATTTTAGGCGATTTCCTACCAAATATATACAACCTTCCAAGAAAATCGGGATTTTGGCGTCGTTTTGGCGGTCATTTTAGAAAATGTGACTTTTCAACACAAATATCACAGATTCGTTTATTTCAGTCTATTTTGCGATAGAAAACACCCAGTGTTTTAACAATTAGAAAAAAGTCATTATTGCCCTACGTCATTGAGTAAACTATAAATAGACCTACAAAGATTATTGATCCTACAGACAGTAACGTCTGTTTATTGTTTGGGCCAACAAAAAGCAATTTCGATTTTTTATTTCATTTAAAGAGAGGGTCTGGACGGACGACAAGGTCTCGCGGGCCGTAGTTTACCCACCACTGATGGCCTGTGTGTCCCAGTCCACCAATAATTTGCCAGTGTGTCGTCGCTTCCAGGCAAAATTAGACAATAACTAATTTGATGTAAGTCCTGAGGCCAAAGTTGATAGGGTAACTTTTAAAGTCCATATTTCCACAACTGGCTCCTATATCAACGCGGAAACGGCTATATATTATTCCCTTTGTTTTTACTGCTCTATAAGATTTTGACACTTTCATGATCTCTAATACTAGGTTTCCCCTATCACGATTCGTGCCGCGATTGAAATTGTGGTTTTAATCGCGGAGTAATCGTGGTGGTCCTATCAGATCTTATCATATATTGAGATCAGTATTAGCAATCGGGTTTATCGCATCAACTTTCACTCGGGGATTACCAGAGTTAAAGTTGCAACTAACACTAGTAGTAATCTACACACCTAAGTAATAGCGAACCGATGTTGAAAGTAAAGACATTACTAATAAAGGCACACGAAAGGAAATCTGCCATTCCCCAGACTGGAAGTAGGTCTTTAATATGTGCACGTTTGGATGAAACCAAAGTTTGTGTTTATTACAGTGAATATGCAGTCCTGGCCCATTGTTTGTTTTTGTTCTGCATGGCCTTTTACCAGGAGGAGACTGAAAAATATTTGATGAACTTTAAGGCTGCTCCTACTTTCGTCCCCTCTTCTTTGTTACTTTTGAACGTGGCATATCGACGATTGGTTGATTCCTGAACACCGTACTTAAAAATCAAAAGCCGACGAAGAATGCTGACTGTTTGCATTATAAGAAAGTGCTATGCGGAATGATGTAAACGGGATAAATTGTCGTTCGACCTAGAGTGCCCAAAGATTTTTGTAAGTAGCCTACTCATGACCCACCTACATTACCCCACAAGTCTTATGCGGGATCGATTGTGATCCATGACCAACCTAGGGCGTCCTAATATATTATGCGTGGCCTAGCGAGACCTAACCCACTTTGGAGTGTCCACAATTTCCATGCGTGACCTAGAGCTGCCCACAATGGTTATGCGTGGCCCAGTCCGAGTCATGACTCACCTAACAAGTTGTATATGTGGCCTATGGTAAGTAGTGTTGTTTTTCCGGTATTTAGGGTTTTCGAGATTTTTCGGTAATTGGAATCAAAAAGTTATTTCGGAGTTTTGTTCATTAATTATTTTCGGAGTTTTTCTGTATGTAGTACGGCTGCAAAAATTCCATCCTGTTTTAAGACAATTCGAAATTTCAAACTACTGAGTCTGTATAATATATTTGTGTTTACTTACAGCAAAAACTAGCCCACGTCATCCGTGTGGTACAAGGAGAGACCCCCCAGGTAGGCTGATAATAACTGATAAAATCTTACAGGTCAGATACTCATGTATATTGTAGAGCTTGATCAGTTGACATGGTTCTAATGAATGAATTCAAGAAAACAGCTTCACAATGAAATGTTATGTTGGAGAATGAACATAGTGAAGCAAAATTTAAAAATTCTAAAACTTTTAAATGTACACTAATTTGTTCCTTAGGTGCTGATCGCTCTATTTATCATTTATTAAAATATGTGCATACAAAGTCAGTTGTGTTTGAAACGCATTGCAACAATATACGAATTGTGAGTGGTTGAAAATATAACAAAAACATATTAACTTTAAAGGCATTGTTATTTTAGGAATGAATAAGTGAAACTTTTATTAAATATTTTACCCATTGCATTTAATAAGGGGAGAGAGAGAGAAATGGGGTTTAACGTCCACTCGACACAAACTAGGTCATTTCGGGACTAACATATGGTTTTTAAATTTTATTTCAATAATTCGCCTGCGCGTAGGGGTCTTTAGCAGTGGGAGCATTTAATAAGGAGATGTTTCTATATTTACATGAGTTGGTAGCACAACCTATCTTATAAATAGGATCAATTACAGCGTTGCTCCAGCTCTCTAGAAATAGACTACTAATTAACCCCTGGGTGCCAGCTCTCTAGAAAACGACTATCAATTAACCCTTGTGTGGACACGTCGCACTAAAAACCTTGCCGGCAACAAGGGGTAATCTAGACCCCAGACATACATGGGTTTTTGGATGCATAGTGTTATTCATATACGACCAAACTACAGCTTCATACTGAATAATAATTAATCAGAGTAAAAATAAATATTTGGGGTATTGACAGTGAAGATATGAATTATAGGGTATTTTTGAAACCATGAAAATCTACAAATAACCTAATCGTCTTTTGACGGGGTTGATAGAGTACTTAGGTTTCCTTTCAGATCTAGATTACAAGAATGATCAAGACAATATCATCAGTAAGAAAGATTCCAAATGCAAAGCTCGCACCGAGCGCAGAACAGATTAGGCACTTAATTGTAACCAGTAACATGTTTAATGTTATACCCTTCGTTTCTTGTTAAATGCCGAATGTTGCCACGGCCTAACTTCCGTTCTATTTGCAGCATTATACTCGACGTTAAGTAGCTGATTATGTTTAAAATCCTTGCCACACAATTTTGAACCAGTTCCCCCGAAACACCCCTTGTATCCGCCCAAGGGTTATATAAAATACATAACTATGAAAGACAGTCTTACGACGTCTTGGTATACATTATATAAACTCTATAATGGTATTAAAAGTTATTAGTTGGTATCAACTACTATTACATACATTTTAAAATTAGTTAAACAGAGATTGCTACGGTTTATCAGCATCCTGTCAATGCTATCGATAACCATTTGATATTTTTTCTTGCTTCGGTTCATCTATTTTGTCTACCCCCTTTCTTACTTTCTTCTACATAAGCAGCGAATATACTTAGTTAACTTAAGTATATTCATATGATGTACGCAGACATCAAAACTAATACAAGGTAGTACACGATTAATCCGTTTGGCACAACAGAACGTTGGGATATCCCATCTAAAAGACATATGAACAGAAATATGTTAGCGCTGAAATGATAAATTTCCAGCATACAATACGTCAATGGGGTACCCGGAACATATAATTGCAATATCCTGGAATGCTTAAAACAAGCCTTTCATTTTCCGTTTACACGACAGAACTTTCGCATCGCTCATTAAGCGAGTGAAATCAAATATTTAAGTTTTATATGCTATTCATTCTATTCAGCGCTGAAATGATAAATTTCCAGCATACAATACGTCAATGGGGTACCCGGAACATATAATTGCAATATCCTGGAATGCTTAAAACAAGCTTTTCATTTTCCGTTTACACGACAGAACTTTCGCGTCGCTCATTAAGCGAGTGGAATCAAATATTTAAGTTTTATATGCTATTCATTCTTTTCAGAAATTGGTCGAGAGTATGAACGATTTCAGTATGACGATATTGCGGACTTTGAAGGTACAGTAAATATTAACCGTTATAGTAAATATTCACAAAGGCGAGTGTTGATAACCGTTATCAATACAAATCAAAGTATAACACAATTATGTCAAGTACATGCCATGCGATATCGGGGTTTTCCAGAATAAATAAGCATACCCTTCCGTACACATACCTCTGGACACGTGAATAGGATGTCATAGGTTGAAGCTGCTTGATAAAAGCTAACATACAGGTAATGGCCACCCATAAAATGACAAGCAAAATTGTTAAAAACAAGAGGTACATGTGAATAATATGAATTGCCCATCTAATCCTAGACCCATTGATAAATATAATCGTAAAGGTAGCATTAACTCCATAATTTATCTCTAAAATTAACCCATATTCAACTATGAAACATTTACCGTGAGGCAAAAGCTTATTCACCGGATGTTGCTAATTAAAGCCTGGTCTATTATAACCTTTAGTCTTTCCTTTCTTGGCAGATATGGATCTACTATATGAACATGTACAATTTAATGAAATTAAAGAAATTGAAGGTAACGTCATTAATGAATATTATATAAAACATGAATGGTTTGACAATATGATATATAAGTTGAACGTTACTTCTTTAATTAATATTTTATAAATCATTGAATTGTTTACAAGTTTTGATCTAAAATATTGTAATATTATCAGTGTACAACACACACCATATATGACATAGCCAAAACAACAGAGATGAAACCTTAATTCCATGACAATTAGTCTGTCCGTAGACGAGGGGTTCAAAAGTCCCATATAAATAGTGATCACACGCCTAAACAAGATTCGACTGTGAAATGTGAATGTTCTTTTGAATACTGAACATAATGAAAATTTCAAGTGAAAGATTTTAGTGTTTTAGTAATTATTCAATTAAACGTGAAAACAATATATTAACCAAAACGACACCTTTTTAAAAGTACTAAACGTGTTTGAGATTAAAATAAGAAAATTATATAGATTGTCATCAATGCTCATATGTTTTGCTTTGGGTCGATAATTTGAAAAGGAATCAATTTAATTCTAATGAATGGATATTATATGAATTTGCATTCTTGTATATCTAACTATAGTGGCCCTAGCGCATAACTTGTTAGATTATTGCAATGTAATTGGCTGGCAATTTTGTGAAACACAATAATTGGTTAACAATGAATGTATCTCAATGTATTGGCGGTTCTCTCTTTTACAAAATTGTGTTAATATTAAATTGGTCAGTCATATTTACAACCACTTGTTAAGAAAACCTGCATTCCAGACCGCATTTCTGCTTATCGACAAAGACAAGAACCACAACATGTCTTGGTTGGTATAGTAAAGGTCTGAGATACATCTGATCAAAGGACACCCTTAAATTAACCATGTCTAGTCTGTTATTTAAAAGTAATGAATACATTCTCTAGATTGAGACAAATTAGTATTCATGCAAATGTCGTACTATATAGTTAAGATTAGCACCCCTTTTGATATCTATTTGTTACAGAACAAAACGTCAAATACTAGTAACTGTACATAATGAAGCCAATGGAGGTATAGTAATATTTGTTGATAAACTTTCGTGGGTCAGTGTACACAACATTAATTCTGACACAGAGACATTATGATATAATGTGTTGAAAGTGTGACCAAAACTTGATTAATCAAAATGCTTATTGCTACTTAACCTAAGCGGACAATTGTCATCATCTCACTTAATTAGAACTAAAGTTATCATGTTCCAAAGCATCAACCGATCAAATTGCTTATCTCTACTTACCATAAGCAGAAAATGCTCATCTTCGCACGGCATTGACCTCATAAACACCTACACCAAGTTTGGACTTTTTAGCTCTATTAGGAGAGTTATTGTGTTTGAACATTTTAGCTCAATTAGAAGGAGAGTTATTGTGTTCCAAAGTCTCGGCCAATCAAATTGCTTATCGCTCAGCTTACCCTGAGCAGAAAATGTTCATTATCGCACTTAGTCAAGGTATTGATGTAATGAAACTATACACCGAGTGTCATCACTCTCACTTAATTAGAACTAAAGTTATCGTGTCCAAAAGCATCAACCAATAAAATTGCTTATCTCTGCTTACCCTAGGCAGAAAATGCTCATCTTCTAACTCCATCCAGGCATTGGCCTAATAAACACCTCCACCAAGTTTGAACATTCTAGGTCAATTAGCAGGAGAGTTATTGTGTCCCAAAAAGTGTGACGGACAGACAGACAGACGGACGAACCCATTTTAATAGTCACCTGCTTTCTTCGAAAGGCGGGGGACAAATATTACGTAATGCAAATCACTTAATCAATTTGTATAGTTGTACAATGTGTTTGCGTGGCCAAATATTTAACCCGTACCTTCTAGATTATACGATCTTTCATTGGTTTCTGACGAAAACATGTGTACACTACCTCTCTTTGCTAAAGAACCATAATCGAAATATTTAAATAAAATTGTACCATATTATGTTCGTCCCGAAATGATCTATGCGCTATGTTTGGATGCGAGGCGAAGTGACTGAACTAAAACTCCATCTGATTTGGCAGGCACCACCACAAGTAATACCAAAGCCATTAACGGCATCACCGGAGATTCTAGTAGGTCGATCAAAGATAATATTAATACTCATGTAAACACATTAACACAGATAAAAGCCATGTTGCATGCCATGTGTTGCTCATATTATGGAAGATGAAAGGGTGGTGAAGAAAAGTCGTCTTGGTATTCCTCACGAATTGGTTATTAGTTTTATGGTTTTCATTCTTTACAGAATGCAGCAGTTTACTAAATTATGATGAAGAGACCGAAGAAACAGCAGGTAGGGTTATAGTAGATCAGTCACTGGTTTATATAATATACAGAGGTAGAAAGAAACAATGTAAGACTGTAATTATTCATATTTTAACAGTTGAGTCTTTTATTCTACTTATTCATAATACATATGTATTTCAGGTGTGGCACGCTCTAACATTAAGCATGATCAGAAAATTGAGCTATGTAAATGGAATATAGATTATCTTAAAGTAATCATCCGAGAAAATCTGTCAATATTGATAGAACATCTTTACGAAGTAGCTGTTATAAACGAGGTAGACATGGAAGATATTGACGTTGCCGTAATGGGAAGCAAACAGAATGGCGCAGAAAAACTGATAGCAATTTTACAACAACGTGGCCAAAACAGTTTACCACAAATAATATCAGTATTAGAAACATGCAATCTCCCTTATGATGTTGAAAAACTAAATAAAGGTATATTTTTCTAAATTTTTCCTAAATTCGAGGGAATGAAGACAGGAAACTTTGGACTTCGGAAAGATCGTGGAGTTCAGGAAAAAATATTATTCTTGCGCCAACTAGGGGACATCTGTAAAATTCGTGTTGCTATTTATAATTATAAGGTGCGATCGTTTTGCACACCCTCGTTCATATTGAGAACCAACTAAACGAACCTGGTTATGTTTTAATTACTCTAATTAGTAGTATCAGTTATACATATACTTAATGTATAATATATTTATTTGTTTTCAGGCAACATCACAAGATCGACTGAGACAACATCACGAGATTACGCATCCTATAAACAAAAAGATATAATAATTGATCAGTAAGTTGTTTGTTCAACCTCTTTTAGGTGACGTAACACTAAAAAGTTAATTGGTGAATTGGAGTAAACCTTTCTGAAAAAAGAACAAAACTGTCCATTCTTGTGCGAAATATAAATAACATTAGTTATAAAATAAAAAAAAATGAATGTACTAAATTTTAGATAAACAGCCACTTGTTGAAACAATACATGTACTTCAGTTACTGAAATAGTCTGTAATATCTCCTACTAGAACACCAGATTTCTTATTTTAGGTTTTCACAAACGCCACACTTTTCTATTGTGCTTTATTTGATCATGAATTAAATAATTGGCATTTCGGGGAACAATATTTTACATTTCTTATTGATCTTAATTATAATGATTATATTCGACCTAGGTTTCAATGTAATTTAATAACGTTGCTGATATTTATATGTTAACTTCCTTTGTTTTTCCTTCAACAACGGGGAAATTACTCCAGATTGAAGCTGACAAATACAGCCCAAGTGAAATTCAACTATTTCTCCTTCACATTCTATGTGTTGTGCAAATCAGACGAAACAAAGAAGCGACGTTAAATTAGGTTGTGGTTCGTTATTCGCGAATAACGAACAACGACCTCATTAGCTATATAATAACGATGCTTGTAAAGGGAATACGCCAGGTGCGGGTTTTTATGAGCCTAATGGATTAATAACACAAAGGTCTTAGGGAAATAGATTCTAAAAATAACGAACAGCGAACTAGTTTGTTGTTCGTTTATTAGGAGATAAACGCCTCCTCTTTCACATTTAGAGGGGTGTTATTGTCCAATATACAACTGGCGGTAGTTTTTACTTTGATGTCCATAGCAGTTATATCTCATAACAACCTGTCATGACATCATCACATCAACCGCTGATGACGTCATGACAGGTTGATATTTCATATCAACCGCTAATGACGTCATCTCAGGTCAATATATTCGCCTCATATCAACCGCGGATGACGTAGATGATCGAAATAATACAAAAAAAACCCACAGAAATAATTTTTTATTCTTTTGACAATTAAAATTTGTTATGGTATGTTATCTATTCCATCGTCAATATGTTGGCTAAAAAGGATTGATTATTCGTCTGACTTCGTATTACTATCCATTTTGTTTTTGCTTTCAATTCAAAATGGCGATGTATCGAACAATTATCCAATCGTTGTTGCCTTTTAATGGAAGAGCCCATTAAATTTAAGGGTGAAATGGCGTTGTATATGTCGGATATAAACCTACTCTCCCTCGGATTGATATGGTAGAGAACGCTTGCTTTCAATTCAAAATGGCGATGTATAAACAAAAACATGCACTTAATTACACGTGATTACATCGGTAATTTTCGCTATTTGGCGGAAACTATCGAACAATTATCCAATCGTTGTTGCCTTTTAATGGAAGAGCCCATTAAATTTAAGGGTGAAATGACGTTGTATATGTCGGATATAAACCTACTCTCCCTCGGATTGATATGGTAGAGAACGCTTGGGCTTCGCCCGCGCGTTCTCTACCATATCAACCTCGGATAGGTTAATATCCTTTACATCCCACTTCTACTCGTTGCCACTGCCAACCTTTGATAAAACTGTCCTGTTTAATTGCAATACATGCTTAAAAGTATCCGTGTATCAGAAATGTACAGAAAGAGTACTGATCATTTCTGATACACGGATACTTTTATACCGTTTTAGATATCTATCAAGCAACAAGTAGCGGACGTTTGGTCCGACCCAGATCGCAATTGATAACGAGGCTCTAACCAATGTACATGAAACAACTAGTCAAATTCATAGTAACAAAACAAAATGGGGGGAACTACATGGCAGTTCAAAAACATATACAATGACATTAAATTAACATAACAACATATTACAAAAATCAATTATTATACATACCAATTGGCATCTATTTCATAATTTGGTTTGATTTATATTAATATGCAAAATATATAAATTAGAATATTGAATAATTATTTTAATTAATTGTGATGATAGAAGGCGCAGTTCTCTTGCTGGACACTTCACAGGCATTGGAAATAAGCAGGATGAAAAAAAAAGCCTAGAAAGTCATAAACTTTATTACAAATAAATTTCAACGGAAGAACCATCCGCCGATGCATACTTTCACCAGGAATGACCCACGTTTCGCATTTCCTTTACACTACATTTAATAATATCGCAGTCCTCTACGCCATAGATATTGTTTTAACGATCTGGTCTAAACAAACACGTGATTGTATCATAGCAAGACGCACGTGTAAATACTACTCAGGTCGTCTCTCAACTGCGAAATCATTCTACCATGAAATGTAACGTGAGGCTCAGAAAGGGATAAATAATGAAAGAACAGAAAGTATTTGTCACTTTTCGGTTGAAACGACTCGATAATAAATACTATTTTTCACATTTTGCTTCACAATACTCGATAGAAATGTGATGTAAGTAACTTATTAGCACCTTTCTACGGTGTATCGGTGTATATCAGGACAGTTTTGGTCGGGAGCCGCCTCGGCTCCGCCTCGGCTGGGCCCCTCGACCAAAACTGTCCTGATATTCACCGATACACCTCGGAAAGTGTGCTAATAACTACTACATACATAGACATGTCCTGCGATCATTAGGAACCAAGACGCGTTAGCGTCGCGGGTTCCAATGCAAAATCTCAGGACATGTCTATTGGACAATAACACCCCTCTAAATGCGAAACAGGAGGTGTTTATCGACATTGTAACATGCTATTTTTTAGAAGTTTAAAAGAACTCATTTTATTGTGTAAGCTTCAAAATTCGTCTCACTGCAAATCGGTTTTAGTGACGTAAAAACCAAAGAAATCAATTTTGACGTAATGAAAACGTCATGACGTAGCGGGGTGCCTGGCTGCTCATGTTAGATTTGGCTCGCTTATCGTCTAGTAGCCGTATGAGTATAGACACACAAAAAAACCCTAAAATTTTCACTTCATTTTTTTAGAAGTAATTTTTTGAAACAAAATTTATGTTTTTGTAATAGAACTTTGAATATTTTGTTGTTTGTAGTTGTTACCTGACAAGGGGGGTGGCGTTTCAAGTTCATCTTCGGACATATCTCCAAATATTTCATCTAATGTACCGAGATCAAAATTGAGTGTCTCCATTGTGGTTATCTCCATTAAAGTAGTACGCATAATATTAATACGCAGTGATTTTGCTAATTTAGAGGGTTGTTATTGTCCAATAGACAGTGTCTAATCGACCAATCAAAACGAAAGATTCACCCTTAAGTATGTTACAATCACTATTTGTTGAATTAGTAATATAATAAAGGTGCTTTTATAGGGGGTACGCCGGGAGTGGTGTTTTTATGAGCCTAATTGGTTTATAACACATCAGATTCTTGGGAAATAGATTTTAACAAGCTGTCTTTCTACTTAAATAACGAGCTGTTTAATATTGTTGAATAACAAACAATGAGCTATGTTGTTGTTCGTTATTCTCCCGATGTGGAATCTGGTGAACAACGAACCGCAAACTGGCTCGTTGTTTGTTTTTCGCTGATAACGAACAAAGAACCACAAGCTAATTTCACGTCAGTAAACAAAACTCGGTGCCTATTGGATTGTTTTGATACCCTAGGCTGTTGTTTACAGCGAAATGCAGAACGTTAAAGATAGGCCTATATTTTTCCGCTCAACATAATAAAACGATATAGGCCTCAGAGATTTGATGACACTACTATAGGCTTTAGAGGTTTAAAGCGAGAATTTCATATTTTCTAAGAAAATCAAAACATAATTATTTCTATGTCTTTTGCTCAAAAGGTTGTCAACTCACTATTATACGATCATAGATATCATTCTCACACTTAAAAAGCATTCACCCCAGAAATAATAAAACAATTACCTCCCTTGTTTTTTCTATCCCCCCCCAATGGAAATAGCTATCTTCAAACGTTTGAATTTGAAGTTGAAAATGATATCTTTTCCAATTTCTCAACTGGCAAAAGTGAATTATAGGATTAATAGGATTGTTCTTTAACAAGGTAGTACTGTTTATAGATACCATCTATTTAAGGCTTTATTTTAATACATTTTAAAAATGTAACTTAAAAGTATGAAAGCTTTAAGTCTGAAACGAAGCAGCTGCTATTGTAATGCATTGGATACCTGGCGGCCAACATTGATTTGAATATCGGGTAAATTGTTTCAAACGTTTGTATTTTAATAGAGATCCTCACTAAAAAACCGAAACCATTTTACCCTAGAAGTGCATTTGGGATTAACGTCGGTTAAACTATTCAATATCGATGCCTCGAGATCGTAATCTCACCACAAACAATAAAAAGACATACCACAATCATGTGATAAATAAACATGTAAACTGACTACCAAAATATGTATAACTTATAACGAATACACAAGTAACAAACTCGACAATCTTAAAATGGAAGATAGCATGTCTTGTTATTTCCATGAATTTCATACTCGACAGTCAATTTTCATTGCATTAGCTATGATACGCTCGTGTGCAATTATGAGACAAAGATTCATCTCCTAGCGCCCATGTCAGATCGATACAATGTTGCTACCGAATGTATAAAACATTCACTATTTGTTCTAAGTATATTAATTTCTTACTCATCTTAATCCACCTAGCATGAAGGCAAAAGAAAGAGGCCCAATGACTGGTGAGGATCGGACACGGATGGAGAAAGTTAAATTGAAACTCATTGACGGGATCAGTGATCCCCAGCCTATATGTGACTACCTGGCCGATGAAGGTATACTTTTACCTGAAGATAAGCATATGGTCGACATGGTAGACTCGCCAATAAAGAAAACCATCAAGCTGTTAAACCTCCTAATTAAAGAATATAAAGGCAGTTTTCCAGTCTTTGTGAAAGGTTTGAAAGAAACACATCATTCTGGTTTGGCCAAACTTTTAGAAGGTAGGTTTTATTTATTATTAAGTGTTGACTAAATTTAATAAGTCATACATTCAAATGTATGCGAGGCTTTAGTACATCGAGTTGAATTCCGATACGACTCGACTGGAGCCGTGTTCATTTGTTGATATATAGTTAGTCGATTTGTTATTGTTATCATTAGGTAGAGTGGTCCAAGCTCAACAGATTTTACAACAATAGACAATAATGCGGGCTTATTTTAGCATTATATAAGACTTACCATAAAAACGTCATTCCTCAACAATCGAAGTCTGGCCACATTTGATTTTAAGATATAGAACCATTTTGGCTCGTTTGAAAATTTGGTTGAAAATAGGTTCAGAGCACACTTTCAAGGCAGTTAACTCTTTGTGACAAAACGAGTTATGGATCGTGGTCCCGATAAATTTAGAATTACGTCCCTGGAATGAAAATTTCTTAATCACAGTCGGGAAACATCGTTTATTTCCTTGCCGCGAAGTAAAGGAATACACCCTATGAGACGATTGAATTTTCAACATCTGTACGCATGCACAAACGCTTATGGGTTTGTTTCACGATATGCCGACGTCTTCAAATGTCTTAATATTAACTACTTATAATGCTACAGTTGCAATTAAAATACACGTTTAGATGGATATCAAAAGACGAAGTTTGACATGACTTGTTTAATGATAGCCTAATATTCAAATGAAGGGTGGTTTCATCTCTGTAAACCCACCGACATCGGTCTGTCTATAATGGCATGTTAGAGACAAAGAGAGAGAGAGAGAGAGAGAGAGAGAGAGAGAGGGAGGTCTATAAATCGAATAATTCAACACTTTAATGTTAGTCCCATAGATACTTATATTGTGCAGTATGATGTTTGTTATGAAAAAAGAACAACTCGTCAGATAAAGTAGAGGAAAACATAATGACATGTAATACGGAGAGAGAGGGATAAAGACATGTGAGAGTATTAGTTCTTTAATCAAGTTCAGATGACAAGACTAGTTTCAGCTTCTATTAATACTTTTATTCTGCTTCTAACATATTACATGTGTGTACAAACATCGTAATGTTAAAGACACCCAGAACTAAACTACATTAGTTGGCCGTTGTCCGGTCTTAACTCCAGAGTTAACTATCAGACGTCGCCTAGCCTCCGACTGCTCTCATGTCCTGCCTGGACCTCTCTCCCCTATGCCGTTTCATTCCGGGGTTTTAAACCTTTCTATACACAAAGGAATCTCAATAGACCTCTGGCTATAATGTATCATGTTTCATATCAGTTAACGTTCAGTATAGTTTATCAGATAAAGAAGTAAGATAAGACATGCCATCAACAAGTTAAAATTACAAAATGACATAAGAAATTCTACCAAGATCTACAGGGGTCGGCAGGTGGATTTGATATTCAAATTACTTTCACATGTCAACTGGCAGGGAGCATAACGTGTCATTTTGTAAAATACCTTCCCTTTTTTTTCAATATAGTTATGAATTATATGAAATAACTTATTTTAAGACGGTTACGAAATTAAATATAAATGGAGTCGATAATAACTACCCTAATTAAAATATAAACAAAAATACGAAAAATGTAAATGGCAAAAGAATAAAACACTGGTTGAAACGTAATAAGATACTGGTTGAAAAGTTCATACATATATACTACAGTGTTCATACACGCGAGACATTGACATCACATAATTATGTCGCAGATAAATTTACTGTTCACACACACGAGTTCCTGGAATCGCATATAAAATGAAAAATATTTGAATTTGCACACACGCGAGTTATTTGAATCAATAATAATTATAACAAAAAAAAAACCACTGTAAAACTATAATGTTCTAATGTTCGCACACAATCACTAATAATCGCGAAATACAATCCTTGAAGCCAACTGTAGGGAGATACAAATTGCACACACGCGAGTTATTTGAATCAATAATAATTATAACAAAAAAAAAACACTGTAAAACTATAATGTTCTAATGTTCGCACACAATCTCTAATAATCGCGAAATACAATCCTTGAAGCCAACTGTAGGGAGATACAAATTCATTTTTTTTTCTTCTTCCTTCATTCCGTCGTCTTCTTGTATAAGTTTCCCGTAATGGCAAGGAGTCAGTGTCTTCTTGTAATCTTATCTTTTCCATACCGCCTGGCCGGAACGGTGCGTTATGACATGTGCTATGAGGAGTATTATAACTGTCACCCGCCCAAGTTTTATCATCTGTTTATCATATCATGGAGTGCACTTAATTAATAGTTAATCAAATTAGCAAGTGGAACAGACTTAAATTAGCTATCTAACGATATTTACATTATTATTTACATGGATAGAATTGAAATTAGGATGTCATATTGTTTTGTTTTTTTTTTCTGAGCACATTTTACCAATCTTCAATAAGATATTTTGAAAGAACTTATCAAAATTAATTACGGTTTATCTCTAAAATTTTTAAACACAACACAAAACAAGACAATACGTTCGCTCTGAATTCTGAGCACGACCCTCTCCTGGGGTTAAACCAATCCCACCTGACTGGGGTTTCACATAAAAACTTTTCCCGTAATATAGCGGGACATTCCAATTTCATAGTATTGAGGTATCACAAAATAAAAAAATCTCTCCCGTACATATCGGGTCCTCCCATTAATATCTGGGCTATCACAACTAAAAATCTCCCGTAAATATCGGGGCATCCCATTAACATTTGGGGTAATATAAACGTATGGACAAAACAAAAAAACCAAAAAACTTTAGAGATAAACGCGTTAATACTTTGTGAATGTTATTGGGTTAAATTTCAAATTACGATACTGTTAACCCAATTCTAGTTAAACAATCACAGAACATTTTACTTTTCGATATTAACCTATTACTACTACTTTTAAATACCAAAATATGTGTTCAAAAACAAACAATTATAATTCATAATCTTTTAAAAACAACATGACTCATTGTAAAACAAACAATATGTATACAATTTTGTTTTAGTCATTTTCCTACAAATAGTTAAGGACTGTTCCACTACTAGCATGAACGGCAATATATTAAATCTAGTAACTACACCATGATATTTAATAAAGCGTGATGATAAACTGCTGATTTCCCAGTTAAATTATAATACATTATAGCACAATGTCATTATTAACCGGCCATGGTAGGATTAGAAAAAGACTTACCCGTGTAGACTAATATCTGTCTGGAGTTAACTACCAGACGTCGCCTAGCCTCCGACTGCTCCCATGTCCTGCATGGACCTCGCTCCCCTATGCCGTTTCATTCCGGGGTTTTAAACCTTTCTACACACAAAGGAATCTCAATAGGCATCTGGCTATAATGTATCATGTTTCATATCAGTTAACGTTCAGTATAGTTTATCAGACAAAGACGTAAGATAAGACATGCCATCAACAAGTTAAAATTACAAAATGACATAAGAAATTCTACCAAGATCTACAGGGGTCGGCAGGTGGATTTGATATTCAACTTACTTTCACATGTCAACTGGCAGGGAGCATAACGTGTCATTTTGTAACAGACATCTATAAATTTAATAATTTAACACTTTGTTTTTTGTCCCGTTTTTTTTACCTGCCAAATGTTTTTGTTTATTTTCATTATTAGCCTTCATACGAATCATTTCTTTTCTAGTCTTCCTAAGTCGATTTTTTTAACTGGGCGATTGATTTTCTTTTTACGCTTTGACAATCGCCGCCAATACCTATTTTCCTACATAAGTCATTCAAGGTCGCATCGGTTGTATAACCACTAAATAAAAGTAAATCTCAAAGTATTGTAATCAGTTTGTCTTGCCACGCTCATTAGTTTGAAAGTTAGAAAAGAAACGAAGCTATTACAGCTAGCTCTGTACAAAAATCGCCAAAATCAATAATTAACTCAACGAGTGCAATCGAAATTTTGTTCACGTTCGCTGTAAAATAACCACGAAAGTCGAAGAGCGTAATAGGTGTATTTTTTACTGGGTTTTATATACTAATACATGTTTGTTTAAAAGCTATGTGTGCTGTATATTTGCTGCGATCTCCCCCGTACGCTGGATTAACCTTTGCTCACTCCAGAAAATGTCCTCGATGGTGCAGTCAGACTGTTTACCGTGTAAGTTGTTATAAGAACAAATCATTGAGCCGTTAACTACTCTACATTAGGTCCATCGAGGTCTACTTTGATTGGCATTAAAATTTAGTAATTGAACATATTAACACAAGGTACAATTTTATGGATACACAATTACCGTGTTTAATACTAATCGACGTTTCGAGGAGGATACTCTCGTCTTTATCAAGTTGGCAATTATGCCACAAAATAGCACTAAAGCTACTAGTTTTTGAAAGTTGCGAAGAAATATAATGCAAATAACAATGGCGCAAATACAAAAACGAATTTTTAAAAAATGAACTGAGAAAAATATATTTTGCTTCTATGTAGGAACATTCGTCTAGATTTATTTGATTTGTAAAAATTGATATTTTTGCTTTTCAAAAGGCCTCCCTTCACCTTTAAAAGTAATTTTGACAAAATTGGGTATTTCTCGACAACGAATGATGTTAGAAATCATTTTTGACATCACTATGATCGTATTGATTCAATCTATATGTCCATCGGAATTAAATACCATGATTTTAAGCGAATAATAAATATAACTCACTACAACAAAATACTTGTTTTGGAGGCTAAAAAAACAATTTTTGCCAAAATGACACTCTTCTCGGCAACTGCTCATATATTACATATATACTAATTATGACATACATTTGCTTCGTATGGATTAATGTTACAGGCATATTTTAAAATACGAAAAGCGTGAATGGGTTGTAAACAGTCCATTTTTACACCTTTTTTCACCTTTAAATCGAAATGGCGTAAATGCAAAACCGAAATAAAAAAAAGAGTCGGAAATTGGTTGCGCCTGTAATAGGGGCATTCATCTTGATCCCTCAGATTTGTAAAAAAAAAATAATATTTGCTTGCGAAACGACGTTC